ATTTGTGGAAGAATGAGGGAGAAAAGAGCCAATGAGGAATGTTACGATGGGGCCAGTACAGGGCATAGAGAGCTACTCCTCTGACTGTGGTACAGGCATTCCATATGGTCACTGGTGTGAGGCCTGGTGACTTTACTTCCAATCCATCTCCCTGCTAATCACCTGGAAGGACAGCAGAGGAGGGTTCAAGGCCTTGGGCCCCTGCTGGAAGAAACTCCTGGCTCCCAGCTTCCAGCTCTGGACCACCCAACTCTGGCTGTTTGGAGCAGTGATCAAGCAAATGGAAGATCTTTGTCTCTGTCTCTCCCTCTCTATACCTCTTTCAAGTGAAATTTATTTTTTCTTTAAAGAATGCTACGAGGACAGTTTTGACCTTCTAGACTTCTGTAAGGGCCTGGGAGTCCCTGGGAAATCCTTGAGCCACATTGTGATAGATGTAGTGTCTTCTTTGGAGTTTTATCTGTTTAAAAGGTGTAGAGAAAGAGAGGAGAGACAGTGTGTGTTTGCTCCTCAGATGCCTGAAGCCAGGAGCTGGTGCTGCATCTGGTCTCTTATGTAGAGTGTAGGAACCTTGTGACTGAGGGCATCGCCTGCTGCCTGCCGGGACACACACTAGCAGGAAGCTGGAATTGGAGCAAAGCTGGGATACAGGAATTCTGGTTTGGGATGCAGCTCTCCCGTCTTAACCATGGGGGCAAATGCCTGCCTTTCTGTTCCACTCTGTGAAAGCTGCTAATTCAGTGAATTTCTTACTCTGTCTCTGACTCTGTGTCTCTGTTTCCCGAAGGAGCAGGGTTGAATTTGACCTTCCTCTGGGGTCTCAGTGGGTGTTCTAGGTCCATGAAGAGCCAGTCTGTGGTCTGGTGGATGAGATGGTGGCAGGGACAGCTTTATTGAGGTGGCCTAGGACGGGGGGAGGGGTTTGTCCACTACTGAGCAGGGTGGGGAGGCAGGGAGGGAGGTGGGTTGAGATGCTGGGGGAGGGGCTTCTGTCAGCAGTAGTGTCACGTGACTGGATGGGCAGTGAGCACCCTGAGAGGACTGGCCAGGTGTCTAGCTTTTCTCCTGCTGGTCTGCCACACTGCCCGCTGATAATCATGACCTTAGCAGCCCCCACATAAATTGAGAGCAGTCAAGACCTTCCTAAACCCTGCACAGCTTGGCAGAGGGGACCCAGACCTGCTTACTCAACATGCTTGAAAGACTTGGGGTGAATGAGAGAAAGGTACTGTCTTGTCCATTCCGTGTGGCTGTTGTAGAACGCCAGGTCCTAGGCAATGTCTAAAGTGAGGAGGTTGAGTTGATTGGCTCCTGTTCTCATTGCTGGCAAATTTAACAGGACCCTGTCTGCATCACAGCAGCTGTCTTAGGGAGACTGAGGAAAAAGAAGAAGAGGAGGAGGGGGAGGACCTAAGAAGAAAAGGCTTGTTTTCAACAACCGGTTTTGCAGCTCAGGGAGAGAGAATTCAGTCAATCAAGGAAAGCACTACCCCTCTTAAAGGTACCACACCTGTGACATGGGGGAACCAAGGCTCCCAGCTGAGGTTTGCTAGAGACAAACCCTGCCCACACTGTGACCGGTGCATCCTGATGCTTCACTGGGCAGATGACTTTCAGGACCACTTGGCTTGATCCAATGCAGCTCCTGACTCTTGCAGGGGAATGGAGAAGACAGCGTAGGCTGGAGCATTTCTGTCCTTCATCACAGGTACCCAGAGAGTTTCTCATCCCAACAGTGTAGGGAAAAGAAGGGGAGTTGGTTAGGAAGGCCTTTCTGCAATAGGTGGCGGGACTAGGGCCAGAGGCAGGTGGATACAGAAGGTAGAGGGGTAGCGAGAGGGACATCTCCTTGGGCCCAAGTTCGCTTGTTCCCTAGTGTATTCCTTGTGCAACAGATGAAATGTTGAGGGTGTCACCAGCAACGGGCACACTACAGAGTCGGGAGGGAGGAAACACGACAGGTGTGGGCTGGGTCAGGTCCCTGCCTTGCTGCCTTCCTGATGGGCTAGAACCTTGCCCTTTAAGCTGGAGTGGGACCCAGTCAGATTTGCACTCCCTGCCCCAGGCCACAATGCTGGCGGGTGCTTAGTGCATGTGTCCAACATGAGTGTAGAGCCTTGATGCTCTCTCTTAGACTTATCTCTGTTCTGTGAAGCTGGCTTGGCCTGGCAGTGCTGCCCGTGGAAAATAGGGAGGTTAGGGGTGGCACCGAGGGCTAGCTGGGCTAGCTGTGCCGCTGTGGGAGGGCAGCAGTGGCTGTGGGGGCTGGGCACACTGCTGGATTTCTGACTAGCTCTCAGATGGGGCAGTGCTGGCAGGCTTGAGGTCAAGGCAGGGCTGCTCAGAGAAAGATGGGAGGAGCAGGTGGGAGGACAGCCAGGTTTCAGTTTGTGTGACGTGTGATGTGTGACGGAGGCCACAAGAATTGTCATTGTCGTAAGAAGGGAAGGGCTGTTTCTGCAGAAATCCACTCCCATGTTGCAGCAAACAATGAAAAACACTCCCCCCCCCCCGCCCCCTCCTTGCCCTGCAGAACCGGTCATTCCCTTCCTGTTTCACTGCCTCTAGCAACAGGGACTGCTCCAGTTCACCCTTTCGATGCAGTCCTTCCATTTAGAAACGATTGTGACTTTTTCCTTTCCCTTGTAAAAGCTCTGAGTCCTTTTGCTAACTGCTGGCCTCCAGTAGGAGTGAAGGGGTGTTTGCTCCACTTGGGGCACCTGCCTCTCCTATCGGCGGGCCTGGCTCGAGTCTTTGCATCTCTGCTTCCGCTCCAACTTCCTGCTAATGTGCGCCTTGGAGAGGCTGCAGCGGATGCCTCAAGTCCTTTGGTTCCTGCCACCTGTCGGGGAGATTCCACTGGAGCTCCTGGATCCTGGTTTTGACCTGTCCCAACCCTGGCTGGGAGAGACATTTGGGGAATGAGCCAGAAGATGGACGAGCTCTGTCTGCTTTTCTAATGAATTTACGTTTTTTTTGTTTTGTTTTGTTTTTTGCTTTTTTTTATGATTTGTGTATTTTTTATCAGAAAGGCAGATTTACAGAAAGGAAAGACACAGAGAGGAAGATCTTCATTCCATGGTTTACTTCCCAGATAATATAATGGCTGGAGCAAGCATCTACAAAGCATAGAGTCCAGCATCTTATTGTCCAGATAAGTTCAGCAGTTTCTTGGGGAGACCATCTCTGATCTGAAGGTGGAGCCGACAGAGTATCATCCCAATCAATTAAAAACCCCAACATTACATCAGTAACAATTTATAACATAATGGAATTAGTTGACGTGGTATTGTGTAACCAGTTAAAAGAGAGAGAGAGAAAAAAAGAGTGCAAGTTCTGAACCACATCCTATGACTTCTACATTGACATTACAAATATTAGTTTATATACAATTGGGTTCTATACACCTTAAAATGGCTATAGATTACTATTCAGCTGTCTCATGTCTATTTTAATTTTAGTATTTAGCAGTTCATAGCGTTGAAGCACGATTTTGCAGAACCTGGCTGTTTTTCAGGTAGTCTAACTCTATAACTCTAACAAGACATATGTCGACAGTTTAGGTGAGCAGTTTTAGGAGGGGCGTGCAGAGGAATCTTCAAAACCCTAGTGAGGAGTAACTAATCTTTATGTCCCACCCAGTGAGTTATAAGTGCATCGTGGATAATCCTATATCGTAAACTCTAGGACATTCTTGGCTCTAAGACATGCTTTTGTTCTGTGCATCGTTAAGAAAGAAAGGGCTGGCAGTGACATGCTGATGGGACGGCAGCTGAGACACCCCTTGGGATGCCTGAGACCTGGGTTTGAGTCTCAGCCCCGCTGCTAGCTCCTGCTAACTGTGAATGTGCACTTGGCCGGCAGCAGCTGGTGGCTCAGGTGCTCAGCTCGCCACTCCCCGTGTGGCAGATCCAGATTGAATTCCCAGCTCTGGCCACGGCAGGCATTTGAATGAGTCAGATGAATGGAAACTCTCTGTCTGTGTCGTTCTGCCTTTCAAATAAAATAAATAAATAAATACAGGCAAAGAGTATGATATCCGCCTTAAGACACGCTTCAGCTTCGGAGAAGTTGAACTGTAAAAAAAAAAAAATAGCTTTTGACATTGTCAAAGCTGAGAAGGCAGCGATGTTTATAAGCAAAACACACTGGCATGTTTAGATTGAGGAAATTTGCAAAGTTCGTCCAAGGGCATTCCAACCTTGCCCTGTGTTATTAAGTTCAGGGTGTCCACAAAGGAACACGGCTCCAAAACAGCCCTTGCTTTGCGTCTGGGACTTCTGTGGATCCTGGTGTGTTGCTGCTGCTGGGAGCTCAGCCTGATTGGCCGCAACTGGCACCTGGGGGACCTTCGGGAAGACAAAACCCCAAACCCCAACCTCCCCCTGCTGCTGACTTCAGGCCTCCAGGGGTGAGGCCCAGGGAGCCCCTCCTTATTATTTCCCTTATGCTTCACCCTTCTATTTTTTTTTTTTTTTTAGGAATGATTTATTTATTTTTGTTTGAAATGCAGAGTTATAGAGAAAGAAGAGGAGAGAGAGAGAGAAGGAGAGAGAGATTTCATATCCACTGGCTCATTCCCCAAATGACTGTGATGGCCAGAACTGGGCCGGTCTGAAGCTAGAAGCCTAAAGCTTTCCTCAGGACTTCTACATGGGTGCAGGGGTCCAAGCACTTGGGCCAGCCTCTGCTGCTTTCCTGAGGCTTTTAGCAAGTGGGAGACTCGAGCAGCCAGGACTCAAACTTGCTGCCCTATAGACTTTCAGTACTGTAGGCAGAGGCTTAATCTACCTGCCATGGTGCCACCCATCCTCACCCCTTCATTTATAATGAAGAAGGTCATAATGAACACAGGCTGGCTGGATGCTCCTTGCTAGGCACCCCCTCGGTGCCTGGCACTGCCTGGATCCTGGGGCATCATCCTTGGTTTTGCCATCAGGCCTACATCTCTGCAGTGCCACCCTCAGCCAGTGCCATGCTGTGTGTCTCTCTCCTCGCAGGCCTTGTGGGATCAATGCCAGCTACTGAAGAGCACCTCGGCCTTTGCCCGCTGCCACCCTCTGGTGGATCCCCAGCCTTTTGTGGCCCTGTGTGAGACGATGGCATGCACCTGCACCCAGGGGCCGGCCTGCTCGTGCCCTGTCCTCTTGGAGTATGCCCGCACCTGTGCCCAGGAGGGCATGCTGCTGCATGGATGGCCCCACCAAAGCACGTGCCGTAAGTCTGCTGCCTCTGCTGGGGCCGCCCCGGGCTCTGCCACAGCTTCCCCCACTGCTCCCTCCTTCTGCCACCTGGTTCTATAGATGCTGCCCTCCAGGGGGGAGTTCCCAGGGCTAGGGGTCCCATTCCTGCCTCTGTCCTCAAACCCCACCTTGCCTTCGCCTCCATGTCCCATGACCTCTCGGGAAATTTATCCCGGGAACTCCCTGGATATTCTCCGCTGCTGACTGAACTCCCAGCAGGTGCAATCCCCAGTGGGGACTTAGCCAAACGCACTGCATGGTGATGCTTGAACTGCTGGCAGGCCTTTCTCCACATTAAACGGGGCTCCTTCCTGCAGGCATGGTGCCTGTCACTCCTTCCTCAACTTCTGCTCTCATCGGGTCCTCAGCTGTTGTCACCAGCCCTCAATGACCTTGAGGAACTAGGGGCCCCTTTGGTTACCTTGGGGAGCCTGTTGTCTCCCAAAGGCCACATACAGATCAAAAGCTCTGTGGATGGGCGACCGGGCCGTGGCGATCGCACGGATAATGCCACCTGTTGATGACAGCAAAGCTGGCCAAATATTTGCATGTGTCTCACTGTGTGGCCAACAGCTTGTCAGCGAGGGCATGGTCTCTACTGTGTTGGGGGCTGATGGAGAGTGAGGGTGCAACCTGGCATCTGCTCTGTCAGGTGCAGGAGCTGCTCCTTGGGCTCCTGGAAGGTGAGGTGGGGGAGGCACTTGCTGGGTCTTGCGGTGGGTTCTCAGGCAGTGGCTGGATGAGAGGCTGGCCTTGGCCATGACGAGCCGGATCTAGTGATGGAGACCCAGAGAGATCCAGAGATGATAAGGTCTACAGGTAATCCAAGTGGAAATCTAAGGGTTGTGCAAAAATGGAATTCCAAGTTGATTTTCTTTTTGCTGCAAAAGGTTTTAAACTCGGTGCATCAGTTTTCTCTAACATACATTTTTCCACAAGCTTTTTAAAAAGTTTGTTTTTATTTCAAAGGCAAAGTTACAGAGGGAAGGAGGGAGAGAAAAAGAGAGAGCATCAATTTGCTGGTTCCCCAAATAGCAGCAATGGCTGAACCTGGGCTCATTCAAAACCAGGAGCCAGAAGTTTCTTCAGGGATTCCCACATGGGTGCAGAAGCCCGAGGGTTCGAGGTGTTCTTAACTGCTTTCCCAGGCTGTAAGCAGCGAGCTGGGTCAGAAGTGGAGCAGCTGGGACATGAACAAGTGCCCATGTGGGTTGCCAGCACCATGGGCAGAGGCTTAGCTAATTGTAGCAGAGTGTTGGCCCTGCACAGATGTTTTTGAAGATCCTTTTCATGCATGGATATCAGAAGTTTGTTTTTGTTTTTGGCATCCATAGAAATGCATTTTTAATCTCACTTCAATATTTCCAGGTGCCCTTCTGAAGGGGCTGAAGGGGCTTTAGTTGAAAAGAGCAGAATATTGCTGAGATGCTCATGGTGAGCAGGTGCTGGTGGCACCCCTTGCCCAGCTTGAGTCTTAGCCAAGGCCATTTGGGAAGGGAGAGTGCTGATGTGATGGCCCCTGGGAACCTGGAGGACAGGGCCAGGGGAGGTTAGGGCTCCCTGGCAGGGCTCATGTGATGCTGTACAGTGGGGCCCTGCCCTGGGAGACGTCTCTGATGCTCATTTCCAGGCCCAGTTTGCCCTGCTGGCATGGAGTACAAGGAGTGTGTGTCGCCTTGCACCAGAACCTGCCAGAGCCTACACATCCGGGAAGTGTGTCCGGAGCGGTGCGTGGACGGCTGCAGCTGCCCCGGTAATAAACTTCTCATTCTATTCATTCAAGCCCAGACCTTGCCAGCGCCCTTGGCTTAGGGGAGCAAAATGAAGGGTGCTTGTGTTGGCTGAAATCAGAGGCCTTTTTATTTAGTGTTTTTTTTTTTTAAAGCCTCTATAGGGGGTGATCAGGATAAGTCTGAATTTATGTTTTCCTGTTGGACTGTAGTCACTAAGACACTTGAGTGTTGGGGAACTGGGCCCCCAACAGGGGCAGTTGGGGGAGCTCCAGGTCCCTTCTGGGCTCTTGCTTTGAGTTCTCAGGTAGGTGTTGGGGGACTGGTCTGGGACAAAGATCTTATAAAATCCTTGTATTGCCCATGGGACTTTGGCTGAGAAGGGCTCGCCCTTAGAAGTCTTTCTCAGAGATGTGAACTTTGATGGAGAATGCTGTGTAATGATAGTCCTGCGATTTGACTTCTGGCTCCTCCTACTGGAAGACTTGGAACAAAACTCTAGACTCTACTGGGAGATGGGCCATAATTTCCCACACTCGCCAATCTGCCCAACATTGCACGTGTGTTCAAGATCCATGTCAACCCTAAGTTCCTGGGGGCTCCTGGAGGAAGCCCTAAGCTCACTCTGGTCCATGGTGGGTTCTGCAATTGTGAGATGGGTTATGATGGTGATAATGCTGAAATCTGTCTTTTTATCTTTGAATGCAGAGGGACAGGTCCTCGATGGAGAACGCTGTGTGGAGCGTGCCGAGTGTCCCTGTGTGCATTCTGGGAAACGGTATCCTCCCGGGGCCTCCCTCACTCGCGACTGCAACACCTGGTAATTGGGGCTGCCCAGCGGGCCCTGGAAAGGCTGCTGTCAGGGAAAGCAGCAAGTGGAGCAGGGGCTGGTCCTGGGCTGAGAGATGCCACCGGGAGGGATTGGAGCCGGGAGCATGGGTACAGACATAGCTGGCAGGGATGGACGCACTTGTACCTGTCAGCCATACCTCTGCTGTCCTTCCGGTCCATGCTGGAATGAATGACCCTTAGGTACAGCAGGGAAGTTACTGTTTGGGCTTCCTCATTCCATTTCCTGCCTCAGTGCACCCTGGGAGGCAGCAGTGGGTGTCCCGAGTGCTTGGGTCTTGGCTATCCATGTGGGAAACCATATTTGTCAGGTAGGAAGAGAGATGTTAGCCTATGAATGTGACAGGGGGCCCAAGGAGACAAAGGAATGTAAGAAAGGAGTGACTGTGACAGCATCTTACTATTTTATGCTGCAGAGTCTTGTTTCTACCAGATAGCTTTACAGGTGGTCCCAGCCTTCCCCATACACAAAGCACCCTGGGAGAATCCTTTAACTCAAGCTGACAACACTGGGTAACAAAACCTGGGAAAGAATTTTTACCCATTTCACACTCAGGAAGCCCTTTGTCCAGAAGAAGAAATGGTGGGGTGAACCAGGAAAGACCTGTGTCCAGGAAAACCTGGGCCCCTTTCCCCTTGCAAGTTCAGGTTGGAATGTAGACTGGGCACTCTCAGGGCTGGCTGCATTGTCTAATTAGCCCCTGCTACCTTACTCACCACTCCTCTGTCTCAACTTCTGGAATTGTTTCCTGAGGAAAAAGCAAGCACCGCTTTGCCAACCATCTCCACTCAAGAGACTGAGCTCCTGGCTTTGGTCTGGCTCAGTCCTGGCTGGTGTGGGCATTTGGGGCAGTGAACTCCCAGTGGATGGGAGATCTCTTTCCATCATTGTCTATTGTCTCTCTGCCTTTCAAATTAAAAGAAAAAGAAGATAAATACACAAGGGCTGTTCTCCCACCGAAGGGAGACTCTAACATAAGCTGTGTCCATGAAGGTCTTTCCCTCCCTTGTTGGCAGGGACAGACAACACCCAGGCATTGTTTGGGTTCCTGGCTCTGCTAGCAGCTCCGGATGTGCTCTGCCTGTCTCCTGCACACCGGGGGTCGGGTGGGGGGAATGACTGGGGACTCCCATTCCAGCTCCCTCGCCTCTGCGTGGCAGTCAGGCCCTCGTAGAGCCTTCAGGCGTGTGCTGGGGCTGCCTGGTGAGCTCAGAGGCTCTCCCTTGCTCCTCCCGCCAGCTCTGAGTGGCGGTGGGTATTTTACTTCCTGGTTATATCTGAACAGATTTTCTAGAACGGTAGTTCCTGGATTAGCTTTTTCTTTTTTCTCTATAGGAGTTCACCTCCTTGGCAATATCTCCAAAGTTCCTTTGCGGTCCAAACCCTGTCCTGTGCAATCTCACCCTCCTAGAGAGCACTCGGCCTCAGCTCTCAGATCTGTTGCTTGGGGCAGGGGCAGGGACTGGGGTATCCAGTGTAGTAGTGGGGGCCTGGAATCTGCCTGTGTCCCTTCAGGTTGCAGAACTCCAGTGACCTGTGGCTTTCCCCCCCTGCAGCATCTGCCGCAACAGCCAGTGGATCTGCAGCAATGAAGAATGCCCAGGTAGGGGACCTGTCACACATGCCTATTCCTTCCTGTGGTCCTTGGCACAGGTGGAAATCAGATATCTAACCACAGGGCTGCCCAGATTCCAGCTCTGCTCAGAGGAGAGGGAGAGCCTGCAATGAGAAAGAGAGAGAGAGAGAGAGAGAGAGAGAGAGAGAGGTGAGCACCTGGGCTGAGGTCCTCTCATATCACCCACTTGCTTAGAGGATTAAGGCTGCTGAGTCTTAAAACTTGTAGAGTCGTGACCAGCCAAACAAACAGGATGTCAATCACTTGGAAAATGAAGAGGAAGCAGGCAGAGTGGGGTACCCTTGAGGCTTGAAGTGAGTGTTTTAATGGACACTTCTGGAGTGTTTCACATATGGATCATGGCCTAGTCCAAGAGCTAAGCGAACCAGGCTGCAAAGTGATTCGATCATTGCCCATGCCACCCTGGAATATTTGTGGAGTAAAAATTGTGTTGCAGTCTCTGCCCTACGTTGTGTCCTCTGTTCAGTCCTAACCCTATTCTATTGACTGCACACATTGCCTGTTCAAAGTCCCGTGCATGACTCCCGGCCTGGCTATGGCCTCGGCAGTTTTCATAGCATCATCTGTGAAGACAGGTGTCGAACCAGGTGGTCCAGCTCTGACATCCCTGCAACGGACTTGGAATCGGCTGATTTTCAAACTTGGGAGAGGACTTGTTGGTTTTTTCGGGGAAGGGGACCCTTCCGTGTTCTCGGGGGACGCCTCTCACTGTTCGTGACCCCATCCTCTGTGTCCCTCCAGGGGAATGTCTGGTCACTGGCCAGTCCCACTTCAAGAGCTTCGACAACAGGTATTTTACCTTCAGCGGCATCTGCCAGTACCTGCTGGCCCGGGACTGCTGGGACCACTCCTTCTCCGTCATCATAGAGACGGTGCAGGTGAGGGGGGCGTTGGGAGGGGGCAGGAGCAGGTGCTTCCCGACAGTCAGCCCCTCATTTCTGCAGACTCCCAGCCCCCCCTCCCTTTGCTAGATGAAGGGCCAAGGCGCTGGGGCTGTCTGCCAGGCCTCAAGTTCATGCTCAGGAGCAGGTGCAGAATGCTGTTCTCTGGGCTGACTGTCTGTTGTATGATGCTGGGGATGCCCCGGGTCGAGGCAGGTGGAGCTGGGGTATGCTTTGTAACAAGCAAAGCAGGCAGAGGCCTTGGGCTCCGGTCTAGGGCAAGGCGGGAGACAGGGAGGGCCAGGGCCAGGCTTAGGGACTCCTCCCTGGCAGCATAGCTCCAGGGACAGCAGGTACTGTGTGGGAGTGCCCTGCTCACCTGCCTCTCGCCCCACCCCCCCAATCCGGGCAGTGCGCTGATGACCCCGATGCCGTGTGCACCCGCTCTGTCGCCGCCCGGCTGGATGCCCCGCTTCACGGTGGCCTGGTGAAGCTGAAGCACGGAGGTGGCGTCGCCATGGACGGCCGGGACATTCAGGTCCCCTTCTTACAAGGTGGGCCCCGCGGTGCCCCTCCCTTCTCGCATGTGCGGATGCTAAATGTAGCTCGGATGGAAAGTGGGCATCCATGGCACGCATCCCTGAGGGAGAGGAAGGTTTCCTGGAGGAGGAGGCTGCTCCAGGCCCCGAGAAGGGGCGTAAAGTCTGACTAAGAGCTGGGGGGCTTCGTTCCCACCACCTTGACCTGGGCGGTCTAGGTTTTTGTGGCTCGGGGCATGTGCCTTTGTCTCCCTCTGGTGGCAGACAGGGGGAATGACAGCCAGCTCAGGCTTACCAATGCCTTCTCAGCTCACCTGGTCGCCTTTCCTCCAGGGATCCCTGTCCAGCCACAGGGACACCCTATATTCCCCCTAAACATAGCTTTCACGGCTGCCTCTTGACCCTTCCGGCATGCCTGCCGGAGCCCTCCCCGCTCAGCCTGCACCATGTTCGGCTGGTTACAGGTGACCTTCGCATTGAGCACACGGTGACGGGCTCTGTGCGCCTCAGCTACGGCGAGGACCTGCAGATGGACTGGGATGGCCGAGGGAGGTTGCTGCTGAAGGTAGGACCCCTGGACAGCCAATGCTTGGCCCTGTGCGAGGGGCAGAATTCCTTTCTGTCCTTTCTGCCCGGCCGTGAGGACTCTGGAGGTGCAGGTGGGGAAGCTTGGGCTCTAGGGCCATGGCTGCGGCTTGGTTCTTTCCTGGTCTCTACCTCACCTGATGTCCTTGCTCGGCAGCCCCTGGCTGAAGCGGGCGTCTCAGTGTGGGTGCTCCCGCCGCCTCTGCCAGGCTCTCCCTGTGGGTGCTCCCGCCTCTGCCAGGCTCTCCCTTGGTTCCTGCCTTTTCCTGCGAGCAGCAAGGGTTTTCTGCAAGTGCCCTGAACTCGGGCTTTGCATGATGTTGCAGCCACAGCCCCACATCCCTGGGCACACCTGACCTTTAACATTTATTTGAAAGGAGAGACAGTGAGTCCCCGGGGCCCAGGAACTCAGCCCAGGTCCCTGGGGTTGAGCTGCAGCCACCTGAATGACTTCACTGCTGCCTCCCAGAGTCCGTGTTAGCAAGCTGGAGCTGACTAGGGAACTCACAGGGATCCCAGCTACTCCAATGGGGATAGGAGGGTCTTAACCACTCAGTCAAGCACCTGCTGAACCAACTCTTGTATGTATATATATGCAGATTTACAGAGAGAAGGAGAGACAGAGAGAGACAGTCTTCTGTCTGCTGGTTCACTTCCCAAATGGCCACAATGGCCGGAGCTGAGCCCATCCGAAGCTAAGAGCCAAGAGTTTCTTCCAGGTACTCTACCCAGGTGTGGGGTCCCAAGGTCTTTGGCTGTCCTCTAGTGCTTTCTCATGTCACAAGCAGGGAGCTGGAAGAGAAGTGGAGCATCTGGGACGGTCACCAGCAGGGCAGTCACCAGCCTCGCTAGTGACAGACTCTTGGGTCTCAGCCCCTGCCCCGTCTCCCAGTGAGAGTCCTCTTAGCAGAGGCCAACAGGTGTACCCGCAGCAGTCCCAGGCAAAGGGCAGGTGCACCTGCTCAGCTGTCCCTGAATGTGCCCCTTGGGTGTCTTGAGGGCATTTCCTGGGTCAGGGCCTGCCGGAGTGAGAGCCTTGCTGAGCCCCTGAGCCCCCTCCTTCTCCCTGTGACCCCTGGAGTCTCCTCTGGCCTGGTCAGGAGGCCCGTGGCTGTGTGGAGTGCAGCTCAGGAGGGCAGTGCCGCATCTTTAGCTACCTGCCAACTTGTGTGTGACCCCTCTGACCTTGAATCTCACGGGGGTCAGGGGCAAGGGCTTAGCTGTTCTGCTTGGAAAGGCACGGTTGTTTCAGCAGGCCCTGGGGTGGGGTGGAGGGCAAGCTCCTGACTCATGCCTTGGGAGCTTGGGCAGGTCACAAGTCCACCTGGCCTTCAGGCTTTCCACCTTTTATTTATTTATGTTTTACACTTATTTGAGGCAGATACACACACACACAGATGCACACACACAGATATCTTCCACCTGCTGGTTCTGCAGGTGGTCTGCAATGGCCAGGGCTGACCCCAGCTGAACCCAGGAGCCTGGAACTCTGTGCGGTTTCCCACGTGGGTGGCAGGGAGCCACATCCTTGGGCCATCTCCTGCTGCCTTCCTAGGTACCTTAGCAGGGAGCTGGAGCAGGACTTGGGAGGGAGGGGGCAAGCCATGGCAGTGCTGCTGGTGTAACTGGCTGTACCACCACGAGACTGTGGAGCACAGGTGGAACATTGGAGCAAGGATGGAATGGCAGGGCTGGCCCGGCTGCAACCTGGTCCCTTCTCGGCCCGGGTGAGGTTGGGTGGAGGGTAGAGGGCTGCTCTGTGCCTGCTGCTAGGCACTCAGGAGACCTGGTGTGGTTAAAAGCAAGCAAATGGAAGGGCTGGCTGCCTTGGCCTCTGCCCGCAGCTGTCTCCAGTTTACGCCGGAAGGACGTGTGGCTTGTGCGGGAACTTCAACGGTGACAGGGGCGACGACTTCCTGTCCCCCGCGGGCCTGGTGGAGTCCTTGGTGGAAGACTTTGGCAACGCTTGGAAGCTGCACCCCGACTGCCCGGACCTGAGGAAGCAGCACGCGGACCCCTGCAGCCGCAACCCGCGCCAGGGTGAGCGCGCCCGTAGGAGTGGGTTGGAAAGGGGCAGAACCTTCCGTGGGCAGTGGTGGGGGTGGCAGTGGGGGTGACCGGGTGTGGTGCTGCACCCTGCCAGGGCGTGCCCCTGGGAGGGCCTGGAGAGTTCTTGGCTTGAGCCATCGGCATGTAACCATCTGCCTCTTGATCATGTCCTTGTCCCCTAAGGGTCTTTGAGGGACGTGGAGAAAGACAAGGGCAGCTCCTGGGACCCCATCCAGGCTGCCCGCTGCTGCATTTCAGCCATCCTTTGGGAACCAAGCCCAGATAGAGAGGGCAGCAGTGGACTCAAGCCACCGCCCTGGCACAGGCCACCTGCTCCATCCCGGGCTCTCTCTTTTTTATCGCCTCCGCAGCCAGGTTCGCGGAGGAGGCATGCACGCTCCTGACGTCCTCCAAGTTTGAGGCCTGCCACCCGGCCGTCAGTCCGCTGCCCTACCTGCGCAACTGCCGCTACGACGTGTGTGCCTGCCCCGATGGCAAGGAGTGTCTGTGCGGCGCCCTGGCCAGCTACGCTGCTGCCTGCGCTCGGAGAGGCGTGCAAGTGGCGTGGCGTGAGCCCAGCTTCTGCGGTGGGTGCCCCACTCTCCACTGGCCTCTGCCTTTGGCTTCTGCAAAGCGCTCTCTCTTGGCTCCTTTCCCTGAGACGTAGGCCCCTGGACTAGCATGGGGGGGGGGCAAGCACAGTTCCTTTGCATGCCCCTGTTCCCGTGCAATTGCCGGCAGGCCACGGCGGTGGGGTCCAGCTCTCCCCGCAGGTAGGACGGTGTTCCGAAGGCCAGGTTGGAGTCTGCACGGGGAGCCATCCTGCAGCTGCCCTCACCTAGTGTTTGATATGGGGCACTGTCAGATGGTGCCACAGCTGTGTCCCCGCGTCCTTTGTGGATCTGATGAAGGCCGTGAAATGCAGACATAGAGTCTTGGCACCGCGAAAAGTTACTTATAATTACGTAGCCCTGTTCTCAGCCACCTTTAATTCACACTCTGCATTGGAGCTGGCGTCGGCTGCTGCCACGCTCTGCTCCTTTGAGCCAAATGATGGGCCTCATTTGTTTGTTGCTGCTGTTGTTTCTTTGGGGACATTTTCTGAGTGCCCTCAGGGCCAATGTAGATCCCACATAGGCACTGCCTTCTTACAAGATGCCCATCACGTTGAGCCAAAGGATGACCGCATTCAGGGCAGGATCGATCAAGGAGCGCTCTCCAGAAGAGGTGTTTTTGCCTGTGATCCTGGGCAGAAAGGGAACGTAGTGGGGGCACACACCCTGCAGGGCAGGGGTGAGTGGCTGTTTTGATTTTTGGACAGAATATAGGGGCTGACGCTATGAGATCATGAATTAAGCTGCCACCTGCTGGGCTAGCATCGCATTTGGGTGCTGGTTCAGGTCCTGGCTGCTCCAGTGTCCTACCCAACTACCATTGTGCCTGGGAAAGCAGCAAGCACAGGGTGGCCAATCCAGGCACTCTTGCGGGAGACCCAGATAAAGTTCCTAGCTTAATCAGGGGCTCGCGGTCATCTGGGGAGTGAACCAGCAGATGCAAGGTCTCTTTCTCTCCACCTTCTGTAACTCCGCCTTTCAAATGAATAAATACATTTTAAGAAAAGAATTGGCCTTAGGTGCCTGGCAAATGGTAGCCCCTGCTGTCGTTCCCAGTTCCTTTCAATAGCCACGGCTTTAAAATCTACCAGCACTTCCACTGTGTCTCAGGCTGCAAGATCTCGGAGGTCAGATGGGTATGGGCTTCCACAGTTATAATGCAATTAAGGAGAATGAGTTTATTTGGGTGCAAAAACTTTTTTTTTTTTGGTAAGATGTAGAAAATGTGTATTATACAAAAGTATTAGCAGATGGAAAAATATTTGCACTCACACTTTTATTTTCAATTCCATTTCCCAGTACCCATTGACATAGTAGAGTTTGCAGATACCATGGGGGGAGGTCCCAGCTGCAGGCTTTGGCACCCCAAGTCCTAAAGCCGCTATCGTCATCTGACATTGGCTCCGATGCCAGCTGTCTGCCTTCTCTTGCAGCCCTCAGCTGCCCAGTGGGCCAAGAGTACCAGCAGTGTGGGACGCCCTGCAACCTGACCTGCCGCTCTCTCTCCCACCCGGACGAGGAGTGCAATGAGGGCTGCCTGGAGGGCTGCTTCTGTCCCCCGGGGCTGTACCAGGAGGAGAGCGGGCAGTGTGTGCCCAAGGCTCAGTGCCCCTGTTACTACGATGGCGAGACCTTCCGGCCTGGAGACGTCTTCTCCGATCTTCATACCATGTGGTAGGTACACGCCGCTGGCCCGGGGAGGCTTGGAGAGGCCTGGCATGGCTGAGCTGGGGTCTTCCCGTGTGTGAAAGGGTAGCCAGGAAGTGGCTTGTGTGGAGTGGCGCAGCACATCTGGAGTGAAGTAAGGCTTCCCCACTCTGGGAGCAACTGGATTTTTCCAGGTGGGCAGGGTGGGGAGTGTGATTTCTTGAGCTTTCTTGTTAGCTGTCATGGCTTGGGTCTCATTTCCTTGCAGGCCTTGCTAGAGGTGTGGAGAAGGAATTCTGGGGTGGGTGGTGGGGGGCTGCAGGTGTGCCCAGACTTGTTCCGGAGCTGGTTGAGTTATACAGCTGGGTGGGGGCTGAAGGGCAAGCAGGGGTGAGGTGTGGAGGAAGGAATCAGGAGTGGGCAGGGTTGCTTTGTCCTCTGGTCGCATGGAGTCACTGGCACTGATGAATGATGTGACGGGTTCCACTCACACACAAAAAGGAAGGGTGATGCCCTGGTGGCTGCAGGTGGGTGGCGGACGTAGTGGGGCAGGCAGGGGTGCGTGGCGGTGAGACGATGGAGCCTGCAGGTGCAGACCGCTGGGTGAAGCTGGGCTGTGCCTGTCCCCTCTGCAGCTACTGTGAGGATGGCTTCATGCACTGCACCTCGAGCGGAGCCCCCGGGAACCTGCTGCCCCCTGCCGCCATCGCCCCCTCACACCGCAGTAAGTACCCGCTTCTCCCTTCCACACGTGCTGGCTGGGCCCAGGACTGCGCGGGTTTCTGCGTTTGTGTCAGTTGACCACGCAAGTGTGTGGCTTTTGCGTTTCGGAAGGAAGAGGAGGAGTCTGAACAAGATGTGGGGTCTGGGGAGGGCAGGAGGACTCCTGAGAGCCTGGCTGTGCACAGGCTGAGCTCAGCCCAGTCTCTCTCTCGCTCTCTTTCTTCTCTTCCTCTCTCTCTCTCTCCCTCCCTCCCGTCCTCTCTTTCTTCCTCCCTAGATTTATTTATTTTTATTGGAAAAGCAGATTTACAAGAGAGAAGGAGAGATAGAAAGATCTTTCATCCATTGGTTCACTACCCAAGTGGCTGCAATAGCTAGAGTCAAGCTGATATGAAGCCAGGAGATTCTTCCAGGTCTCCCATGCAGCTGCAGGGTTCTAAGGCTTTGGACCATTGCTTAACTGCTTTCCCAGGCCACAAGCAGGGAGCTAGTTGGGAAGTGGAGTAGCTGGGACATGAACTGGCACCCCCATAGGATGACAGGGCTTGGGGGTGGAGGATTATCCAGTTGAGCTATTATGCCGGGCCTGCCTCTTTCTCTCACTCTCTTGGTGTGGCTCCATGTGCCCAGCCTCCTTTGCTTCAAGGTCAGGAACCTCGTACAGTTCTGGGAAACCCATGTAGCTTTTTGGAGTTCCAGCTTCCTGGAATTGGATTTCATAACAATGCCAGGCTGGAACGTCTACTAGTAACAGCATCCTGCCATCTCCTGCAAGGTCAAGGGTATAAAAAGAGGTGGCCAGTAGATGAAGGCCAGGGTCGAGTGAGCTCTGACCTGTGCAGGCAAAGGTCAGGAGCTCAGATGAGAGCCCGGATGAAATTGCTGTCCCAGTGCTGCCCGGGGAGTCTGGCTCTCGGCTCCAGGCCGAGGACATGAAATGGTGGCTGCCGGGTGTGGACCCTGAAACCATTTCCCTCCCTCCCTCGTTACCTCTCTGGTTTTCCCTCCCTCAAGGCAAACGGAGCCTGTACTGCCGCCCTCCCATGGTCAAGTTCGTGTGTCCTGCCGACAACCCACGCGCCCAGGGCCTGGAGTGTGCCAAGACGTGTCAAAATTATGACTTGGAGTGCATGAGCAGCGGCTGTGTCTCAGGCTGCCTCTGTCCCCCAGGCATGGTGAGCCACCTGCTCCATCTTCCCCTTATGTGGTCCTGCAGGGGTGTGTGTATGGGGGCGGGTCTCAAGGAGGGAAAGAGCCAGGAGTTGAATTGGGGTGGCAGTGGGGGCCAGGTGGCCCTTGGGAAGGAGTTGGTAGGAAGCTTTCCCAAGGGCTGCGGGAAGCTAGAGGGATGCACACACTTTTGAATAGGATTTGTAAAAGTTCAGGAGGATGAACCTGCCACTCCATTCGTAAGTCAGGGGTTCTAGAGAAGTCTCCTCCCCACGCCGCTGCAGTGGATGGGCCTTACTGTGCCTCTGCTGTGATGTGTGTCCAGGGGTCTTGGCCAGCTCTGACCAACCCCATCCCCATCCCCCTTCCTGGAGGCTCTGCCCGTGGGGTCCCAGGCAGTGCTGCTTGGCATCCAGTTGATCCGTGTGCCTCACAGGAAGGCTCTGAGCTTGCCCCAGTCTCCACTCTCCTTCCCTCCAGGGACAAGGCCAGCATTGTGATCAATCTGTTACATAAATATTGTTCTTGTCACTCAGAAGGGTGCAGCTTCTAGAGTGTTCTGTTTTGAATGCATCTTGTATTACCCAAAGCGAGGGGCAAAGGGATGGGGCAGAGTTTTGGAGGCCAGGGTGGGCAAATGCAGGTGGTTCTGACCTGGCCTTAGTGGTGATGGTAGGGGTCTTCCTTAATTGTGTGGTTCTCCCTTGCTCCTGCCTCAGGGGATTCTGGGGGTGTCTTCTTAATGGGGGGGCTCTAGTCTGGCCTATGAGCGTAGGTGGTTATATACAGAGTGAGGTGTTTGTGTGTGGGGGGATGCTGTAAGGGCTGGATGAGGAGACGGGAGCACAGGGGACATGTGCTGTGTGTGCAGGGTCGGGGTGGAGCTTTGGGGCCAGGCATCACGCTTTGGGGCTCGCCCTCCCCCTGTGGATCCCAGGACTCCTCTGAGCTTTAGAGGCAGGATGGCATGAGCAGACTTCCAAACCTTTTTTCCTTCAGTTAAGAAGACGTTGAATCGTTCTACCTCTAGATCCGTATTACCTGAAGCCAGCACTAGGTGGCAGCCAAGGCCAGCCCATTGCTCTGCTCACTGGCCTCCTGAGCTGGACCTGTCACAGCTCTGAAGGGCAGAGGGGCTGGGACCCCTGGAACCCTCCTGTCACAGGACAGGAGGCTCAGGAAGGTCAAAGAGGCAGAGTTACTGCGAGGGTGGAAGCTCTTGCCCCCAGTCCCAGATCAATCTCCTTGCTCTCTGTTGGGGAGTCCTGGTCCCCACATGCTGGGGGGGGGGGGTGCGGGGAGAGAGAGACCTACTGGTTCAGTTTGCAGATGGATGGCTGCACTGGCTGAGCTGGGTTGATCCAAAGCCAAGTCAAGAGCCAGAAACTTCCCCTGGCTCTCCCACTTGCTTGCAGATCCCCAAGCACTTGGGCATTTTTTGCTGCTTTCTCGGGCACATTACCTGGGAGCTGGATCAAAGTGAAACAGCCTGGACTGGAACCAGTGCCAGAGGTCTCCCATCTGCTGACTTGCTTCCCCGGTAGCCCATGGCCGCCAGGAGCCAGCAGCCGCATCCAGGTCCCCCACACGCAGAGGACTTGGCTGTCTCTGCTGCCCCCTCCCAGTGTACTAGCAGGGAGCTGGAGGAGGGTGGGACTCTGTACCTGGCACCTGGCTAGGGCATATGGAGGTCCCGGGTGGGAGCCCAGCATAAGGTCCAGCCCTGTTTTAGGCTAAATCTGAGGTGTGACTGGGCTTGCCACACCACCTTCCCTGCCTTGTGCCTTGGCCTCTGTTGGGCTTCTCTGGGAATTGATGGACGAGCTGTTGTTGTCACCAGTGGCATGGCTGGGGTGTAACCGCGGCACCCCAGAGCTGAGTGGGCATCTGTGTTTTGTGCCCGCTGCGGACACGACCTCTCTCCCTGTCCTTGCAGCTAAGCCTGATTTTTGTCCCCACTGGGGCCCAGCGTGCACCTGTCGTTCTGACAGTGTCCACTAGGCGGCAGGCCTTGGATTTAAGTGAGGCTGTGTGTGTGTGTGTGTGTGTGTGTGTGTGTGTGTGTGTGTGTGTGTGTGTGAAGGGTGGTCCCAGGAGGTCAGAGTGGCTGAGGGTGGGGTCCGCTCCCCACCACCCCGTTCCCTTGCTCTGCATTCTGCTGTGCATCACCTGGCCCGGGTGGTGGAGCTCTGGAGTTCCTCCTGATGGCAGGGGAGGACAGGGTTAACACCCACACCGGCGCGTGTGCGCACACACACACTCCTGATACACACATCACACACAGAAGCAAGACATACACACGCACACACCTGTGCAACACACATGCCTGAACATATCCACATGGGATTTGAGCTCCTGGTCTGTGCTGTGGAAGCCTGTCTGATAGAATCGCTCTTGCAGGAGTCTCCTCCTCCTCGTGGCTCTGCCCAGGTAGCTGTGGGACCAAGGTGCCGTGCTGTGGTGCCTTCACCTGGGGGTGTGGCTCTAGTTTCTGAGACCGCCCAAGGCCAGCTCGGGTCGCAGCAGGTGTCTGGACCTGCCTCCTGACACTGTGAGAGAAGCAGATCCAACGTTGGGATCACGGTGTTGACAATTCCTGTGAACTGCTGTGGCTGCGGGTCCCCCAGTACGCCCCTGCCTCAGCCGCCACGGACCCGAGGGGCGCACTGTGCTCGGGTGTGGAGGGCAGTGCAGTGGAACGTGCTGGGCAGCGGGTGTCAGGCCCTCAGGCGTCGGGAAGGGAGGGTCTGGGTGGCTCGGATCCTGCTTGGTGCTGGTTCTCACATCCCGGGCACCGTGTACATTGTACTAGACACCATGTCCCTTCTCTGTAATTATAACAAACCGAATACTCAGTGAACAATGTTTGGAGTATTTGAAACCGAACCCCCACCCCTCCCAAATCCAACAATGGATTCTCCCACTCACTCCCTCATCTCAACCCCAAAAAGCAGCTTCTGGCTTTCCTTGAAATGTGTGCATCTGGGTATACAGTTGGGGCCACATGTGTGCAATCAGGTATACAGTTGGGGCCACATGTTCACAGTCAGGTATACAGTTGGGGCCATGTGCTCCTTGTATTACACATGAGCAGCATGAGCAGTGCTCACACACCTGGAGGCTGCTCGCAGACGCTGTTCTGGAAGCCTTGTGGGTCGGTGGTGCCTGGGGATTGCTATGTGGGCTTAGTCATCTTCCTGCAGTGCAACACTTAAATGCTTCTGCTTTTTGTTGCCAGAGGTTGTTTTTTGTGACTGCGTGTCACAGCTCCTTTTCTTGGGGAGGGGTGTTGGCAGTGGTGTGGGCTGCCCTTTCCATGCAGTGACTGGGCTAGGCCAGCCTCAGTTGATGCCACACCTGCAGGGTGTGAGATGGTCCTGAGCAGCCGGCCTCTTCACCGGTTTGGTCTTGCAGTGTGGACGGTGGGACCCGTGTTTGTCAAGCCCTAACCAGGGTGAAGGCTCTTCAGCGTGCCGGGCCTGTGGCCAGAGCCATCCCCGAGGGACAAGATGACAATGGCGCCTCCTGGAGTGGGGGGTGAGGGGGTCAGTCATGGTGGCCCCTGAGACAGCCGTCCTCTCTCTCCCCTCAGGTCCGGCATGAGAACAAATGTGTTGACCTGGAGAGGTGTCCCTGCTTCCACCAGGGTCGGGAGTACGCCCCTGGGGAGACGGTGAAAATGAACTGCAACACCTGGTGAGGCTGTGTGCTTGGGGAGGCGCTTGCCTATGGCTGAGCTCGAGGCAGGCACCTGCGGAGACCTGGGCATGCTGCTTCTTGCCTCAGAGCCTCTGTTTATCCATCTGTAAAGTGGGGATAACCTGCACCCCGCTGGCCCTGGCAGACTCCATGGGGTGCCTCCGTGGGGTGCCTCCATGGCACACAGATCTCTTCCGTGGACTGTGAGTGGTGGGTGGCATCCGAGGTCCTGGGCCTTGTCTCCTGGACCACCCTGAGCAAACACTCCCTTTCCCTGCCTCGCTGCTGTTTCCCCCTTGGGACCTGGCAGAGGCACGACTTCCCTCTCCTGCTGGGCCCCGTGCTGGGTTCCTGCAGGCTTCACATCCTCAACTTCTAGAGGCTTCCTGGAGGTGACCCCGGGACTCCCATACCTTTCTTCGTTGCACCCTCCCTTGCCCCCCAGTACTCACCCTGGGGCTCCCCACACCAATTGCCCATTCCATCACTTTCGCTGTCTCTCTTCCCAGTGTCTGTCGAGACCGGAAGTGGAACTGCACGACCCGTGTGTGCGATGCCACGTGCTCCACCATCGGCATGGCTCACTACCTCACTTTTGACGGGCTCAAGTACATGTTTCCGGGGGAGTGCCAGTACGTCCTGGCGCAGGTGAGGGTGATGGAGACGTGGGCTTGCACGGGAGGGTGGGTGTTCTGTGCGAGAACTCTTGGTTCTGCCAGAGCCAACCGCTGCACATGATGCTCCCCTGCCTGCAAGCATCTCCCAGTCCCGGCATGCAGCATCTGGGGAAGTGGCGAGGTTGGAAACCCCAAGGGCACTTCTGTCTCTTCCTTCTGCTCGCTGGAGTTCTGTGAGGACTGGCCAGAGCTCACTCACAGGGGTGCTGTGGGTGATGTGACTGGTCCCAGGATCCCCTGCCTGCTAGCACCCATGTGTAACGGCCAGGGTGCAGGGTCCGGTGCAGGCACCCTGGGCAGTGCATGCCGCAGGGGACTGTGGAGTTTGCTTCCTGCCCTGAGCTCCTTTGCTGCTGTTCACCGTCTTCCCCTCTTATCTGGGACGGCACTCAGAATGGGGAGGGGAACAGGGAGTCACAGAAAGGCCTGTCTGTTCATCAGTGCGAGAAAGAGACCAGGAAATCCTTATGTTGACCCCTGCGGCTCCAGTCCACGCTTCACGGATTCCCGTGCAGTTATCATGCAGGTTGACCCCGAGTGGGTGTACCTCCCTGTTGGGGAAGGGGTCTCCCCATGATGCTTTTTATGCAAATGTGTCCTCTTGGGAGGAAGAGCAGGCGGGGGCCAGTGCGGGTAGAAGAGACCCCCAGGAACAGACCCCCAGGAACCTCAGCCCTGGTGGTCCAGGGCCATCGTATGGTGCAGAGTATAGTGGGATGTAGTGGGAGTGGGTGAAAGCAGTGGCAGCCCAGCCAGCAGGGCCTTCCTCACCCAGCCCGGTCTAGCTGGACACAGGGTCGGCGGGGAGCAGCCCAGGGACCTGGGGCGTGTGCCCTTGAGAGCTGTCCCCAGATCATGTCTGGAAGCTGTTTGGCTGTTCCTAAGCCTCATAGCAAAGATGGGATGAGGCCAGCTTCGCAGCTCAGCTCTCACACTAGCTTCAAATCCGAGCATCCGGCACCAGCGAGGAACTCCGTGCCCCAAGAAACAGCTGGCCTGGCCCTTCCCCTGGCCAGACAAACCCGCTAGTGGTCCAAATCTTGTCCCATACTTCTCCATCTCCTTCCACCTGTTTCCACCTTCTTGGGCGGACAACATCAGACTAACCTGTGCTTTGAAAAAAAAAAAAATCCCAGCTGGCTGCCAGGACCACTTATTCCCTCTTTTGGCTTTCAAATCTTACTCACTTAGCCCAGCAGTCCCATTTAGTGGACTGTTGGCTTGGGGTGTGGAAGGCAGTGTGTGTGGTGTTGTGTGTCCGTGGGTATATGTCCGTATGTCTGGGTATGTGTGCGGGTCTTCAGACAGCTCATGGAAAATGTGTGTTATATAAACAATGTGTGTGGATTTCAATTCTTCTTGTACCAAAACAAAACTTACCTTGTAACTCCTTTTTTTCCCATGAACTTTTGAAGTGCCTTGTATGCGTATATGTGTGTATATGTAGATGTGTGGGGTACATGTGTACATATGAGCATATGTATACATTTGTATAAAAGTGTGGTGTGTGTGCATATGTGTGTACATGTGTGTGTGAGTGCGTGAATGTGTGTGCATGTGTGTGAGTGGCAAGTATTCACTCAGTGTTACCCTGTACGGGAGCAGAACTAAGACCCAGTCATTTATCCAACCTGATTGTTTTCTGTTTTCCCCGTCACACCCCAGGAGTGGCCCCAAGTAGGAGGTATTTTTGCTTAATATTCTGTGTAGTGGACCAAGGGGAGAGTGTTTCTTTATCCTCGGTAAGCAACTGGACATAGGATCCCAGGCCCCGGGAGCTGTGTCGACTCGGCCCTGGTGATGTGTCTGAGCCAGCAGTGCAGAGGGAACCCAACAGAGTTTAGAGCTGCCAGGTGCCTTGTAGTCAAGCTGTCCTAGTTACCTGGATGGGGCTGTGAAGTGGACTTTGGGCGCTGGCTTGCAGCCTGGTATGCCCATCAGTGCCCAGCACCTGACACTCTCCCTGTGGCTTGCGTCCTTTGCTTCTGCAGCATTGCCCACCACCGCCCGCACTGACCACGGGTACCTGGTTCATCTGTGATGGCCGAGGAGCACACACCTGCTGAGGGAGCTCACCTGGGCATGGCCAGCCCCCTCCTTTTTCCTTTCTCCTTCTCTCTTCCTGCACCCTCAGACCCGTCACATCCTCTAAAGCAAGGCCTGAGATGCTGAGCTTCTAGTCTGGGTGGAGGACAGGGGAGTAATGCTTCCCTTCTGGTGTCCTTTTCCCCCAGGATTACTGTGGAGGGAACTCTGGCACCTTTCGGATCCTGGTGGGGAATGAGGGCTGTGGCTACCCCTCAGTGGCATGCAAGAAGCGGGTCACCATCCTGGTGGAAGGAGCAGAGATAGAGCTGTTTAATGGGGAGGTAAGTGTGAGCCTTCCCTCTGTCTCTCCCCCCCTTGATGCTTCCAAAAACATTCATAAGCATTCATGTAGCAGGTGTGGGAATGGAAATGTGTGCAGCCATTGCAGACAAGGAGGCAGAGGCATAGCACCTGGCTTTAACACATTCTTTGAGAAGAATAACACAGTGTGGATAACACAGTCCCATGGTAGTCCGAGTGAAGACACAAAGCATGATATGCCTGTGTGAACACAGGACTTGTTGAGGTGACTGGAGCTTGGAGGGACGTCTTTTTTGTAAAGGCTGCCGTGTCTTATCCATGGACCCAGGACCCTCAGGGCATGTCTGAAATGGATAATACTGAGTGCTGGGTATCCTGTGTTCTTTGCTATATACACCCATGCATACGTATGATAAAGTTTAATTTAAAAGTTATGCACAGTAAGAGATAAACACTTGTAACTACTAATAAAATAGAGCATTTTGAATGATGCACAGTGATAAAAAGTTATTTGAACTTATAAATAATCTATTTCTGGAATTTTCCAGGTTGACTGAACTGTAGGAAACAAAACCACAGTTAAGGAGTAGTGGGGGAGGAGTGCTCCTGGGAGGATAAACTTATCACTTAATCCCATTTTCCTGTGAGCGTTTTGAAACATCCTCACATATTGTTTGCAAGGGACAGTGTGATGGGAGAATCTTATTTCCTTTATGTTTCTGAGTTCTTGGCTGACAGGCATTTTTGAAGGAGTTTAAAGGAGAAGTAGACAGTCTCTGTGCACTGGGAGCTTACCAAGTGGCTCTCAGAAGGGCGCACAGGATCTCTTGGGAGATTCCATTGCAAATCCGGTCCCTGTGCTTGGTCCTCAGAGCCTGTGACACAGGGGATAGGAGGTGACTTCTCCACTGCTTGGCAAGGGTGACTTTTGACCGGGCATCTACAGGGTCCACTGTGTTTCAAAGGCAGCTCTGTGGAGGACAGTTGGTGACAGTAATGTTGTAAAAGGTGTTCAGACTTGCGATGACACACTTTCACACATGACCACCCCTGCCCGTGGTTCTTTTACCAAGGAGAAGAACCCTGCAACGGGGCAAATGTTCTTCGCATCAGCCTGTTTCCTAAACAAAGAATTCAGCCAAGGGTACAGAACGAGGCTTTGAGAGGGTTCTTGGTAACTTGGATGCAGATATGCCCAGGTGTGGTGCTGGCCTGCAGAGAGCCGGCTGTCAGCGAGCAGGCAGGTGGGGTGTGCACCCCTGGAAGGGGACAGACGGACAGGTGTGCAGCTGAGGGAGGGCCTGACTTCTCCCACCTCCCCTCACCCTCCCTGTCCTGCTCTCTCTCCTCCAGGTGAATGTGAAGAGTCCTCTGAAGGACGAGACACACTTTGAGGTGATAGAGTCGGGCCGCTATGTTCTCCTGCTGCTGGGCAGGGCCCTGAGTGTGGTATGGGATCGCCGCCTGGGCGTCTCCGTGGTCCTGAAAGAGACATACCAGGTCAGTTGGCGCTGTTTTGCTTTATGCCGTCTGTGACGTGCCATTTGGACTTGTGGTCAGCTCCTCGAATGACCACCTGCTGTTCTGGCCCACCCTCTGGCATCCTCTGCTTCAGTCCATGGACTTCAGATTTAGCTTTAAGCCTGGGCCCCTCCTGGAGGCAGGCAGCACCTGGGAAGGGTTAGGGTAGTCTGGGGATCTAGTGGTTTGCTCATGCGCCTTGTGCTGTTCATGTCCACAAATGAAAGAAGAATGGAAGCCATGAAGTTTTGCCTTTAGGAGGGATCCTTCTTGATATTCTCATGGCAATGTCCCCAGTCCACAGGCCAGAATGATTTGAGAGCTACTTGTAAATCTGCTGACAACCTGATTCTGAGAAATATCGCAGTATTGGTCTAGGGCCCTTGTTACCCTGTGGTCCTGGAAGGCAGAGCCCTCGGATCACCTACTTTCCTCCTGGAGGGTTCTGGAGAACTTCTGCCTTGTCTGGATCCTGGGGGCTGCCTGCCTTACCAGACCCTGTGATCGCATGGAACTCGCCTGGTTATCCCAGCATCGTCTCCATGCCTCAAGATCCATAACCCCATCTCACCCCTTTTGGCCATGTGGATTTATCCATTTCCTATTGCTATAACAAAATGCCCAAGGTTGGGTATTTTATAAGGAAAAGAGGTTTTCGTTAGTTCTTGGCTTTGGAGGCTGAAAGTCCACAGTTGGGTGCCCCAGCTGTTCAGCCCCTGTTGAGGGGGACCCCTGGCTGTGTCATGTGATGAGGCAGAAACAGAAAGAGAGGAGGCTGCATCAAGGAGGGCTTGTGTGGCCAGACGGAAAGCTAGAGGGACAGAGGGACTCAGGGGCTAGGTGTGTCCTTTTCACAACAGCCCACTCGCGGGGAACTCGCTGGGCTGCCGTGAGAGCTACACCGACCTTTTCTGAGGCTGTGCCCTCCCAGTGACCTGGTCACAATCCACATGGCCCCACCTCTTAAAGATTCCTGGATTCCTCTCCCGCTCTGTGTTACCCCTCTCAGGGACCAAGTACCCCGCATACAAACCTTTGGGGAGTGAACTCAAACTATGTTTCTGGGGGGTTAGGGCATGGTATCTGTGAAGGGCACTGTTTGGCCTTTTAGAACCTTGGTGGAAATCAATTCTAGGAAGGATTGCATTTCAGATAGGTTGATGTGAGGGCACCTGTGTGAAGAGGTGACATCTAAACAGGGTCTCCAGTGAACGGAAGGCATGAGCCAGGGGGAGGTGGGCTAGTGTATGCCGAGGGCCTGGAGTGGCAGGTGTTTGAATGGGGAGGCCAGTGTGGCTGTAGAGTAGGGGCTTAGAGTGAATGGTGGTTGGTGAGGGGAGGCAGAGGCCAGTGGCCATACCAGGGGAGCTATTAGGTCATGTCTTTCTTTTTGTGTCCAATTGTGAGAAGATTCTTAAACATTTCCCAGTAGTATTGTATTCCAGCCAGTTCTTTCCCAGCTTACTGAAGCAAAATAGAATTAAAGATTTTTCTTTGTCTCAAGACAGGACTCCAAGTGTGCTGTAAAAGTGTAGCACCTTTTCTTGTCCAGGCTAGATAGCTCCAGTTCTTTCCGTTGTCTTTATAAGGTGGTTTTTCACTCATGGAGTGATCAACACATTTAGGGCTTGTTGTGTAAGACCTAGCTTCCCTAGTGATGTTTGTGGCGAATTCTGAGCAGCCTGTCTGAACAGGCCGTCCTGTCCCTAGTCACGAGGACTGGCCTGTCCCGCTGCTTGGGCCTCTGTGTTCCTTTGGGTGGGGTCACAAAGACAGTTTCTCTGCTCAGCCCCTTCCTGGGAAGGTCGTGGTTCACACTGAGGACCCCAGGGCCAAGGGCTGCCTCACCTGCATCTCTGCCCTTTGCCTCTCTCTGTTTCCTGAACTTGAAGGTATGGTCACCTAGAACCTAGAAGGCCACGGTGAGGGCAAGGACCCACTGCTCACCCCGTCCTGTGCTCTTCCTCCCCCTCTCCCTCACTTTTCCTTTTGCTCCTCCCCCTGTATCCTCTGCTTGCTGGAGCCTCCTCTTCCCTGAAGCGGAGAGGATGCCCCCTGAGGTTTCCAGGGCTCACTCTTGCCCCTTGTCCGTCCAGGAGCAAGTGTGTGGGCTGTGTGGGAATTTTGACGGTGTCCAGAACAACGACTTTACCAGCAGTAACCTCCAAGTGGAGGAAGACCCCGTAGACTTTGGCAATTCCTGGAAGGTGAACCCACAGTGCGCGGACACCAGGAAGGTACGTCTTGGGTGGCAGCGGGGTGTCTCTCCCGCCCCAGCAGGTGGTGGGCAGCACGGGAGTCCTGCAGGGTTGAGCCGCCACAGTCTGACTGCCATGGTTGTCCTGCCTCTGTGTTCTCACCCCTTCCCAGGTGCTGTTGGAGTTGTCTCCTGCCACCTGCCGGGACAACGTGGTGAAGCAGACGATGGTAGATTCCTCCTGTAGGATTCTTACCAGTGATGTTTTCCAAGGCTGCAACAAACTGGTGAGGGGCTGGTGAGGGCCTGGCGGGCAGTGGGAGGCAGGGCAGTGCCGAGGGCGGATCCAGGAGGAGCTTCAGGTGTGAGCCTCGCCTTGACACTGCTGTGGTTCTTTTCTGGTGTCGGAGACCAAGGGAGGAAGTGATAGTTTATGAGGAGAACTGTACCTGGCTAATGTTTCTTTTCTACACAGAAGAAACTGTTTGTGGTGTCAGCCTCTGCTGCTCTTTGGTCCGCCTGGTTGGGTGGCAGAAGCCCAGGCACCTGCTGCTTTCCTAGGCATAATAGCAGGGGGCTGGATTGGCAGTGGAGCAGCTGGGACTCGAACTGGCACCCATATGGGATACCAATGCCACAGCTGTTGACTTAGATACTGTGCTACCGTACAGGTCCCTTTTAATACATATACTTTAAAGACCTATTTATTTGTTTGAAAGGAAGAGTGACAGACAGAGATAGATTTCATCTACTGGGTTCACTGCCCAAATGGGCGCAGCTGCCAGGGATGGGCCAGTCTGAAGTCAGGAGCTTCTTCCGGGTCTGCCAAATGAATGATAGGGACCCAAGAACTTGGACCATCTGTTGTTGCTTTTTCCAGGTGTTCTATCAGGGAGTCGAATCAGAAGTAGAATAGCTAGGACTCAAACCGATGCCAATACGGGATGCCAGCACCTCAGGCGGTGGCTTAACGCACTTGGCCACAATGCTGGCCCCTCTTGTTTGGTTCTTATCTCACAGAGACTCTTCTCTGACCTTCACTCCAGTGACCCTTTGATTTTTTTTTTTACTCCGTCTTTGTGTCTTTATCTCAGACAAGAAGGAGGAATTCCCAACACTTAGATGCTGTTCTCTTGTCGTTTTCCTGTGTGCATGTGGAACTCCATGAGAACCTAGGATTCTTGCTCTCCAGTCCCTCCTTGGGAGCCCCTGACTTTTCTCCTTCCACTGGGGGAGCGTCCTCTTATCTGCTCCCAGACCACTCTTAGGCAGACTGAGGGTTCTGACTCTGGGCTGCAGGCCCAAACCACCTGTGGCTTCCTTTGCAGGTAGACCCGGAGCCGTTCCTGGATGTTTGCATCTACGACACCTGCTCTTGTGAGTCCATTGGCGACTGTGTGTGCTTCTGTGACACCATTGCTGCCTACGCCCACGTGTGTGCCCAGCATGGGGAGGTGGTGAACTGGAGGACCGCCACCTTGTGCCGTGAGTGACCGGGACCCCACCCCTGCCTGCGTCTGGGAAGGCTGTGGGGTGCAGGAGGAGCCACTGGTGGGAGGGAATGGAGAGCCAGGGAGTAAAGCAAGCTGAACAATGCCCCATGTGGGTCGCTCATGTTGCAGATGGCGACTTAACTTGCTGTGCCACAACCCTGGCCCCGTCACTTAATGATTTGTATAGCAAACTGACTCATGACCATTAGGCTCCTGCTTTAAGTTCAAGTCCCTGATGCAAGTGACTCTCGTGGTTCCTTATTCTGCAGCCTGGACCACACCGCGCCCCCCCCCATCACCGGCACAGGTCCCCGCAGGGCTGCCTGGGGGCCTTTGCTGCAACCTCAGTCTGTCAAGATGTGCAGAATTGTCTGGGAGCTCTTCCAGTCATGCCTTATCTTGTGTGTCCACAGCTCAGAGCTGCGAGGAGAGGAACATCCGGGAGAGCGGGTATGAGTGCGAGTGGCGCTACAACAGCTGTGCGCCCGCCTGCCCTGTCACGTGCCAGCACCCCGAGCCGCTGCCATGCCCTGTGCAGTGCGTGGAGGGCTGCCACGCACACTGCCCTCCAGGTGAGGGCCCTGGGCCGCAGGTGGGGTTGGAGGGGGTGGTGGGCAGGTGGCTTGGAGCTGTGCTTCGGGGTCCTTCTTCATGCGTGCTGCCCCCAGCCCTGCAGCCCTGCCACGGGGCCTCTCAGCAATCCCAGCTCTGCCCAGCTGAGGCGGTACGTTGGGTGAAGGAACTTACCACTCACTTTTTCAAAGGGGTAAATCAAGGCACGAAGTGGGGAGGGTGTACCCTGGGCCCTGGGAAGAGATGGCCTTGAAGGAAAGGCTCCTTGTGGGAAGCAGAGCTCTGGGCTCCTAATGGGTGATTTGTTGTGCAGGGAAAATCCTGGATGAACTGCTGCAGACCTGCATCGAGCCCCAGGACTGCCCCGTGTGTGAGGTGGCTGGTCGGCGTCTGGCCTCAGGAAAGACCATCACCTTGAACCCCGGCGACCCTGCTCACTGCCAGATTTGGTAAAACCAGATGCTGTGCTGTTTGGAGAGAAGCTTTTCTCCTTCTCCTCCTCCTTCTTCTTTTTTTTTAATGATGGAAGCCAGGTGCTTCTTCCAGGTCTCCCACTTGGGTGCAGGGGTCCTCTACCTGTCCTCACTTCTCCTGGGGGTCAAGGCATCGCTGACAGCCACAGGCCTTCTAGTGGAGTGTCAGGATGCTGACAGGAAAGTGAATTGGAGCCCCTGTCCCTTCTGCAGGGCGCAGGTATCTGGGGGTCCATGGTCTAGAGGGAAGACACGCATTGCTGTCCCCTTGAGACCGCCCCTCCCCACCCCAACCTGCTAGAATTGCTTCTGGGAAACCAGCTTGCAAGACCTGGATTGGGGGTAAGTTCTGAGAGTGAGTGCTGAGCTTTGTGAAGTCTTGCCCATAGGCAGGGAACATTTATTAAAACATGGATCCATTCCACACCGCTCCCTGACACCGACAAGGCCTTCGGGGAACTTAAACTTGAGAACTGTGCCTTGCTGGGGAGGGGGCTGTGGTCACAGCTGCCAGAGCCAGATCCTGCCGCCACCATCTGTACAAACAAGAGCAAGCGCTGCCCCAGGGTGAGTTTCCTTAGCAAACACAGGAAACCAGCAAGTATGTCACTCACGCACCATGAACTAAGGATGGAAGCAATAAATCGTCGGGGGTGGGGTGGTGCGAGGACATAGGAAGTCACTTCTCAGGAAGACCCTGCCTGTAAAAGATGAATTTTTACATCTAATACGTGGACGTGAGGCAGGAGCCAGGGCTGGACATGGAGGGGTTGAGCCGGCCATGAGTTTTGAGTCCCATGGGCACCACCGCGCATGAGAGCTTCCCAGCCCATTCCTGCTGCCTCTGCTGGCACAGGGCAGGGGGCAACCTCCACAGCACGCTGGCCGAATCCTCCAACAGGACATGGAGGGGGTGTCCGCTGAGAAGACACTGCCCAGGACTCAGAGTTTGCATGGCTGCCTTCTCAGCCTTCCTGGGCGGGGAGGGAGGTTGAAGTCAAGTTGTAAGGCGTGACATCCACAGAAAGCCATAGTCTGTGTGGGTGACTGCCATGTGACACCTTTTGGTTCTTTCAGTTCCAGGACGCTGGTAAAAAAAACCAGTGGAAGACCGGAATTTTGGGGGGAGTGGTGCAGTGTGTGTTGTGTGGGGCACTGCAGGTGTGTATGTGTTGTGTCCTGGGTGCTGGGCGTGGGTGTGGCCAGCACCTGAGCTGTTCTAGGTGCCCGCTCAGCTGCTTGCCTATGCTGGAGGAATGGATGCGTGTGCTGCCATCTGGTCCTCATTCAGACACCTCAGACAACCTCAACTGCTCCTCCCAAGGGCTTTGTCCTGCTAGATAAAGATGGCATCTTTGAATCGTTAGGCCATGTTCCTGTCCTGTTTCTACAATGGTTTTCTTTCTGTCTGTTTAAGCCATTCAGAATTTTTATTTTCTAACATTTTCTAACATGCTGTAATAATCATGCGGCTGTAGGTATCTTCAGTAGAACGGTTCCGGTTAGTGACATTGTTTTAGGATGTCATTTGCCCTGTGAGATACTCAGACAGAGGGTTGAAGTCTGGGGAAGTGTGTGTGTGTGTGTGTGTGTGTGTGTGTGTGTGTGTGTGTTGTTCCTTGGGGACAGATATGACAAAATGTCAAATGACTTGGATGATGAGTTCATGGGAGTTCACATTCAGGTGCATTGGGCAGGCAGTGCTATGGGAACAGGTGCACAAGTTCCTGCCACATGGGGCTCAGAAGTTCTTGGGGAAGCACTCTGCTTTCTTTCTTCTGTTGCAGTCACTGTGACAGTGTCAACCTCACCTGTGAGGCCTGCCAGGAGCCGGGAGGCTTGGTGGTGCCCCCTACAGATGTCCCAGCCAGACCCACCACTCCGTATGTGGAAGACACCCCGGAGCCGCCGCTACACAACTTCTACTGCAGCAAACTGCTGGATCTGGTCTTCCTGCTGGATGGCTCCTCCCAGCTGTCGGAGGCCGAGTTTGAGGTGCTGAAGGCTTTCGTGGTGAGCATGATGGAGCGGCTGCACATCTCGCAGAAGCACATCCGTGTGGCTGTGGTGGAGTTCCACGACGGTTCCCACGCCTACATTAGCCTCAAGGACCGCAAGCGACCCTCTGAGCTGCGCCGCATCGCCAGCCAGGTCAAGTATGCGGGCAGTCAGGTGGCCTCCACCAGCGAGGTCCTCAAGTACACGCTGTTCCAGATCTTCAGCAAGGTGGACCGGCCCGAGGCCTCCCGTGTCATCCTGCTCCTGTCCGCCAGCCAGGAGCCGCCGCGGATGGCCCGCAACCTGATCCGCTATGTCCAAGGCCTGAAGAAGAAAAAAGTCACTGTGATCCCTGTGGGCATCGGGCCGCACGTCAGCCTCAAGCAGATCCGCCTCATTGAGAATCAGGCCCTGGAGAACAAGGCCTTCGTACTCAGCGGGGTGGACGAGCTGGAGCAGCGGAGGGATGAGATCATCAATTACCTGTGTGACCTGGCTCCCGAAGCCCCCGGTGCCACTCAGCGGCCGCCCGTGGCCAAGGTCACCGCCAGTCCAGGGCAATTGGAGACGACAGCCCTGGTGTCCAAGCGGAAGGCCATGGTTCTGGATGTGGTGTTTGTTTTGGAAGGATCAGACCAAATCGGGGAAGCCAACTTCAACAGGAGCAAGGAGTTCGTGGAGGAGGTGATCCGGCGCATGGATGTGGGCCCAGGCAGCGTCCATGTCACTGTGCTGCAGTACTCCTATGTGGTCACCGTGGAGCACACCTTCAGCGAGACCCAGTCCAAGGCTGACCTCCTTCAGCAGGTGCGAGAAATCCGCTACCGGGGTGGCAACACGACCAACACCGGGCTGGCGTTGCAGTACGTCTCCGAGCACAGCTTCTCCACCAGCCAGGGGGACCGGGAGCAAGCCCCCAACCTGGTCTATATGGTCACCGGGAATCCTGCTTCCGACAAGATCAAGCGGCTGCCGGGAGACATCCAGCTGGTGCCCATTGGAGTGGGCCCCCACGCCGACGTGCAGGAGCTGGAGAGGCTCGCCTGGCCCAATGCCCCCATCCTCATCCAGGACTTTGACAGGCTCCCCCGAGAGGCCCCGGACCTGGTGCTACAGCGGCCCACCCTGTCTCCTACCAGCGGTAGGCTGGTGTCTGTGAGCATATGGGAGGAGGGAGGGTTGTGATGCAATGCTTGGGTCCTCTTCCTGTCTCCTGGCTTCGTGCACTTGGTCCAGCCTGAACCTCAGAGTGATATTCCTTGCCTCCTGCCACTGGGCAGGGACCATGTGATGGCCCTGTTTTAGGGGTAGGCTCTTTCTTCACTGTGTTTATTAGGGAATACATGCCTCCTGTTAACACGTGAACAGCAGCAAGTTTAACAATGCAAACGTGACGCCCAGGGTCATCTCCACCCAACTGAGTGTTTGCCTAGAAAGGAAGTAACATCTATGAACTAGGATGATTGTCAGTTCCCTTTGGCCTTTCGGGGGCGAGGGGATGAAATTTGCCTTTCTTTGTTTGCATTTATCTGGGAATCTTCTATCACCGTTTCACTCTTGTCTAGTGTCTCTTGAATCTCACATTTATTATCATGCCCCTATTTCTTTGTTCAAAGCCAGAGATTTGTTCAAATTATCTGTTTATTTGAAAAGCAGAGTTTTGGACCAGTGTGGTGGCATAACAGGCTAATCCTTGACCAGAAGTATTTGAATCCCATATGGGCACCAATTCCAGTCCCAGCTGCTCCACTTCTTATCCAGCTCTCGGTTTATGGCCTGGGAAATCAGTGGAGGATGGCTCAAGTCCTTGGGACTGTGCACCCAGGTGACAGGCCCAGAAAGAAGCTCCCAATGCCTGGCTTCAGATCAGCTCAGCTCTGGTTATTGTGGCCATTTGGGGAGTGAGCCAGTGGGTGGAAGATTCTGTGTTTCTCTTCTCTCTGTAGAAAAAAACCCAGCCATTTGAAGAAAAAACAAAGTCTTTAAAAAAGAAAATCAGAATAATAGAGAATGGAAGATGGAGGGAGAGAGAGAGAAGAGAGAGAGAGAGAAAAAGAGAATCTTCTATCTGCACCTGAACTATCTTTCACAGCTTTTCTCAGGCACATTGGCAGGGAGCTGAATTTGAAATAGAGCAGCTGGATTTGAGCCAGCATCCATGTGGAACACCAGCGTTGCTGGTGGTAGCTTCATCCACTATGCCATAACGCCTGCCTCCAGAGATATCTAACAGCTCTGGCAGAGGCCTGTCTCATCAACGGATCCTTTAATTCCACCTTCTGTGAATGTTCTGAAGCTCCTGTGTGTCCCCCTTAGTGGTGCCAGGTGACAGGCAGTGCTGGCAGAGCTGCTTACTGCTGTGCCCAGCAGCCTCCATCAGCAGCTTTGTGCTCACCTCCCCGGGGCCCTCTTGCAGACTGCAGCCAGCCCCTGGATGTGGTCCTTCTCCTGGATGGCTCCTCTGGCTCGCCACCTTCACACTTTAATGAAATGAAGAGTTTTGCCAAGGCTTTCATCTCCAAAGCCAATCTGGGTGAGTGACCCATTGGATGCAGCCCTAGAAGTAGTTCTTGAGAGCCCTCCCCCTCTTGGTGCTAACTGACTTCTGTTTCCTTTCCCGTAGGGCCTCATCTCACTCGTGTGTCTGTGCTGCAGTATGGGAGCATCACCACCATCGACGTGCCATGGACTGTGGCCCAGGACAAAACCAACCTGCTGAACCTTGTGGACCTCATGCAGCGCGAGGGCGGCCCCAGCCAGATTGGTAATGTTGGTACCAGAGGCTGGAGGGGGCTGGGCAGAGCCTGGTTCAGGTGCCAGTCTTTGGTCCAGTCATTTGGTTCTGTGGCTCTAGTTTCCTCTCTTCCAGACCTCCCTTATGTGCTGCTCTGGGCTTCTGGGGCGTTCTTGTGATCCCACGTGAAGTGTGCAGCTGCGGCAATGCCCTTGCTTGCTGTCTGCTGAGGCTGATGCGCTGTGTTCTGGATTCCTCCTGCAGGGGATGCACTGGGCTTTGCAGTACGATACGTCACTTCACAAGTGCATGGAGCCAGGCCCGGAGCCTCGAAAGCGGTGGTGGTCCTTGTTACAGATGTCTCTGTGGACTCAGTGGATGCAGCTGCCGCCGCCGCTAGGTCCAACCGTAAGTGTTCAGTGTCCAGCCCAAAGCCATCTTGAGTGGCAGTGGGGTGGCAGAATGTGGGGGGATAAGCGTGCCCAAGGTCCACCTATGTCCTGCTGTCCAACAGCAGGGAACTGTCCAGTCACTGTGGCATTTCAAGGCCAAGCCTTGGGATGTGCACTGGTTCTTCCCTTGACGTGCTTCACATGGCAGCTTTGGCATTTTCTCTTGTGCCCAGGGCTGATGGCAACTCTACACCTTTGCTTCCCAAAGTCTTGTCCTTGGTCTCTCACTAAAATGCCATTTCTGTGGCCAGAGTGCTTTAAAAGGTCTTTATATGCAAAATAGAGTAGTAGAGTAACAGAAAGATGGAAGAAAGAAGAGAGAAAGGGAAGGAAGGAGAAAGAGAGAATTTTTCACCCACTGGCTTATTCCCCAAATGGCCACTATAGCTGGATCAGGCAGAAGACAGGAGTCTGAAACTCCATTGGGGCTCCCACAGGGTGGCAGGTTTGCAAGCACTTGTGCCATCTTCTGCCACTCTGCAGGTGCACTAACAGGTAGTTGAATCAGAAGTGGAGCAGCCAGGACTTGAACTGGTGCCCTTAGGGAATGCCAGCATTACAAGTGGTGCCACAACACTAGCCGCTTATCAGAATCCTTGAAATGCCTTTCTCACCGAATCCCCAAGCCTCCATTCTGTCCCTTGTGGTTTGTTCTCAGCCCAGTAGCCACAGTGGTTCCTTTACAGATGGAGGGCGGCTCTCGTCTGAACTCTTTCCTCCCCCAGAAGCCTTCAGGTGCCCCCAGGAGCCTGGGCAGCTGCTCGGGGTCTGTGCCTCGTAGCCGTTTGTTGGCCTGGCTGCAGTCAGGCTGGAGCAGGCTGCAAGCTGTGCTTCTGTCCCTCTGTTTGCAAGACTCCTCCTCCAGGTGTTTATTCTCCTGTCCTCACAGCAGGCCCCTGCTCCAAGGTCATCTTTTCATAGGACTTCAAATAATTGGCAGCAACATGGAACGAAGAGACACATGTAAGGGGTCAAGCTGATGCTTGATCATGCTGGCATTCCATGCAGAGCGCAGGTGTGAGTCCTGACTGCTCCCCTTCCAATCTGGCTTCTTGCTAGTGCACCCGAGGCGATGACAGAAAAGGGCTCAGGTGTCTGGGCTTCCGCTCCCCATGTGGGAGACAAGGACAGCATTTTGGGCTCCTGGCTTCAACTTTGGTGCTGTTACTGTCAGTTGGAGGAGTGAAACAGCAGATGAAAGATATCTATTTCTCTGCTTTTAAAATACATTTTTTAAAGAAAAAAAGACAACTTTGTCTTGGTGCAAAAAGTATTCTGAAAGCTCTACATAGTTATTAGAGATCATTTTCCATGAACATTTTGAAGATCCCCTCATATGTGTTAATTTTTTGCATCAAAAATAAATTTATTTTCTCTATATTTTTGGTTAGCTTTTTCCATATGAGACAATAACCCTCCCCCCCTCATCCCTGGACATTTTCGTCTTCCTCATCTCTTTCGGTTTGTTTCCATGCCCTTATCATGTGAAACACTGCCTATTCATGTCACCTGTTGGATTCATTGATTGTGTATTGAGTCTCTTGCCAGCGGCAAGCTCCATGGGGCAAGGGCCAGGGCTTCTTGTCCACTGCTGTGTTCTTGTTTCCCATAGTACCTGACACCCAGTAAGAGCTCATGAGCGTTTGTTGACTATTTTCCTCAGCAGGTAGCTGAGTGTGACCAGTGTGGAGGACATGAGATCCACATGCGCTGGGCGGAGTTAGGCAGTCCATGTTGATCTCTCACTGACCACGGACTCGTTCTTGTTCCTTTAACACTGCAGGGGTGGCAGTATTCCCCATTGCTATTGGGGATCGGTATGACGATGCCCAGCTGAGCACCCTGGCAGGCCCCGAGGCTGGCTCCAACGTGGTGAAGCTCCAACGTGTGGAAGACCTCCCTTCCATGGTCACCCTGGGCAATTCCTTCTTCCACCAACTGTGCTCCGGTGAGTGTTTAACTATCCCACGCAAGTCCCCACGAAGAACAAAATTATCCCTGAGAGACCTGCGGGTGCTTAGGCACAAGACTTGGCCTTGAATGAAGGTTATCATACATTTCTGGACCTTCGAGTCTCTGTTGTTAGAACTATAACCTTTTCCTCGTGACAGGGACTCTACAGGTGTTTGTGCATACCTCCTTCCATTGTAGCTAGCCACCTGAGCTCTGCCAGGGAGGGACATGGGCTGCTTTGTGCACAGGGATCTTGGATGAGAGAATTAGAACCTCTAAAACCGTTGTTCCCCCAAGTGACCCCACACTCATCCTCAACGTGAATAGAGAGGGCTCAGAAAAGACATGAACAGGCTCTGCTATCGAAGAGTCGGAGTGTAACTTACTTTGCATTAAGAACTCTGTTTACAATCTGTTTTCTTGATGCCCGGTGTTCTATAGTTTTCTAATACAATTCATTGTAAGTCAGAAATTCGCCACTGAGTTCTTGTGCTTGCCTATTTGTTGGTAGCTCTTTGGATAGGATTTTTCATTAGCTCGGTTTCAAGTTTCCAGGGTCTCACCTCATCTTCTGCATGCTCCTCCTCCCTGGCAGCTGCAGCTGGAGGGAGATGATGACCTCGTGACCACTGATAGGCTTAATGAGCTGTGATTACTGCTGTATTATGATCACTGCTGTCACCATCGAGTATTAATGGCCACAAAGCATGTGTTTTCAGACACACTGGATGAGCTCCTCTTACCTTGCGTCCCCACTGTGACAAACCCTGAAATGCTTTTCAGAGTTGAGTCCGTGTCCAAGACCAGACCAGGGAGCCCATGCGGACAGGTCTTCAATTTCTGGGTGACAAGTGGAAGCTAAGGTCCTCTCTGTGTCTGTTTCAGGGTTCGTTAGAGTTTGTACGGATGAGGATGGGAATGAGAAGAGGGTGAGTCCTTTACATTGCCTTTCTAGAAAAGATCTAAAGTACATCCCTGATGCCCACTGGTGGACATTTCCTCCCTTGGCCCGAGTCCAGTTCTCTGGCTAGCCGTGGTCCTGTGATGGGAGTTGACCTACCACTTTTGCGTTGTGTTTCATGTCTCAGGTGTAAGCTCCTTGCTGGGGAGTCTGGCGTCTGCTCCCAGCCTCTGTGCTGCCGGAGTTGGTCAGTGGCTGGGTGGATGGGCTTAGAACTGGAGGTGCCTCCTCCTAGTCTCTACCAAAATCTTCTTCTGCAGCCTGGCGATGTGTGGGATTTATCAGACCAGTGCCACACAGTGACATGCCTGCCAGATGGCCAGACCTTGCTGAGAAGTCATCGGGTCAACTGTGACCAGGGGCTCAGACCGTCCTGCCCCAACAGCCAGTCGCCTATTCGGGTGGAAGAGACCTGTGGCTGCCGCTGGACCTGTCCCTGTAAGTCCTTTGCCTCACCAGATTTGACAGAACTGCAGCATTTCCCCAGCTTCTGCCCCTGGGTAACGGGATGTGGAGAGCTGCTCTTCCAGCACGGAGAGGAGAGAGTTGGTGTATTATATACCAAAGTGTATCTACTCTTTAGTTCCCTTTGTCATGATTGAAAGTTTCCACATGTAATCACAGTATAATGATCAAAATCAGGTTCTTCCAATTGTCCTACTAATGTCCTTTCTCCTCTGGGTCTAAAAGTCAATACGGAGTCACATATTTTGGTTAGTTGTCATGTTGCCTTGATCTTCTTAAATCTGGAACAATAATTCAGCACTTTTGGACAAATTCCCAGAAGGGGGATTATTGGATTATATGATAGTTTCATATTAAAAAATCTTTTGGAGGAACACCTCCTGGTGGTTTCCATGTGGCTGCTCCACTTCACATTTCCCCCAACAACACCTGGGGCGTGTTCTACGTTGTTGCTGACACACTGTTCACGGTTGTTGGTTGGTTAGGATAATGGCCATCTCAGCTCGTGTGAGGTGAGCTCTCGTTGTGGTCTTGCTTTGCCTTTCCCGAATCGTCTATCATGTCCAGTATTTTTTGCCACATACCTGCTGGCTTGTTATTTATTTATTTATTTTATTGGAAAGTCAGATATACAGAGAGGAGGAGAGACAGAGAGGAAGATCTTCCAGCTACTGGTTTACTCCCCAGGTGGCTGAAACAGCCAGTGCTGAGCTGATCTGAAGCCAGGAGCCTTCGGGTCTGCCATGTGGATGCAGGGTCCCAAGGCTTTGGGGGAGTCTTCTCCTGTTTTCCCAGACCACAAGCAAGGAGCTGGATGAGAAGTGGAGAGACAGGCCGATTTTCTATTGATTGCTTCACTCCTCAAATGTTTGCCATAGTTGGCAGTGGCAGCGGCAGACTGAAGGCAGAGGCCCAAACCTTAGTCAGGGTATGCCATGTGGGTGGCAGGAAATGAACTTAAGTTGTCATCTCCCCATGTGTATTAGCAGGAAGTTGGAATTAGCAGTGGAATAGCCAGGACTCGAACCTGGGTACTCTGATATGGGATGTAAGCGTTTGAAGTGATGTCTTAAAATGCTCCCACTTGTTCTACTTTAGAGTCACCACTGCCTCCCAGGCTGTGCACTAGTGGGAAGCTGAGTTCAGGAGCAGGGCCGGGTCCTCAGGCCAGGCACCCTGCTATGGTACACAGGCATCAAAGTGGGGCCTTAACTACCGTGCCAAGTACCTGCTCCAATGTAGGAAATTCTAGGTAGACACCTTCATTTACTCAGTTTCTGGAAAATGTGGCTGATCTCAATCAATCAAGTTCTTTTTCTCTTGTAAATGACTTCATCTTTTTTCTTGGATACCTGGGGAATGTTTTTTTCTTCCCCTTGATCTTTGAAGTCTAATAGCGTTACTGTATAGTGTGTGGAAGTTGACCATTCTGGGTGAATTTTTTTTTTTTCGGATGTTTGGCATGTGTTCTCAGTAAACAGGTTTAGCTCTTTGATTTCCAACATCTTTTCATGGGTCATAGTTTTAAAATACTGACTAAATTCTATTGTTTCATGCCTCTTTTTCAAGGACTTTCCTTTTTTGGTTCCTGTTTTGCATTTTTATGACTTTCTAACCCATTGAGTTCATTTTCATTTTCTTGGTTGTTTTGATTTTCTGCTGTTGATTCAGTTTTTATTTTTGTTCTCTGGTCCCTTGGGCTCTTATAATTTAGACTTCATTTCTGACTTTTACTTTTTTCTTTTTTTTCCCCAGCCTGAGTTCAATCAATTTTATTTTTATTTATTCCGGTTTTGTCCATTTCTTTTCTTAGCTTTTGAAATTCTGTTTCAAGGTGGTTTTCATTTTTGTGAACATTTGAATATATTTAATTTAGTTTTGAGTGTTGAATTACTGTTTTCTTCTGTGTCATGGTAGTTATGCCTTTTTCTTCTTTTTTTAGTAGAGTTTGTACTGGGTGGGGAGGGCTGCCTGTTATTTTTCGATCTTTTAAAAAATAAATTCCACAGATTGGTTGAGTTCTTTATTTTGTGTTTGAGGTTCTGTGAGATTTCTGATTTGTTATCATCTCTTCTACCCATGTAGAAAAGTTGTCACTTCAGTGGTTTGTGTGTGGGCACCTGTGTCTGTGGAAGGATTATGTACCTTATGGTATTTTAGTTCTGTTTTATTTTTTTGGGGGGGGGGGATCTTCAATTTCCCCATTTGCATCTTTTTATGTCACCAGGAAATCGCCAAGCACCTTGCATTCCTGAAGATACAGGGTCTTGGGATGGTGACTTAACTCATGCCCAATGCAAGCATCTGCTGTGATCTGTCAGGATTCTGCTACGATGTCTTGGCACCGGGCTTGCCGCTCTGTGGGTGGTGGTAGCTTTCAAGCAAGGCTTGCTGTTTGCTCTTCTTTGCAGTTGTCCTCGGGTTGTGCTTGTTCATGACAAAACCTAGTGGCTAGCACCCCAGACATTGCTGGAATGGGCTGTGCCGTTCTTCTTTTTATTTACAGTGATTTTGAGACTTGGATATCCTCTCTTTCCGGTTAGGCTGAAGGCATTTTTATTTATATATATATTTTTGTATAATAGCTCGATGTCTGCCTCGTCTTCTGTGTCGTACTCAGAGGCGACAAGGGAGAATGCAGACTTTTGGCAGCTGCTCTTGTGGGCCTTGTGTCTTTCTGAACATTTGCATTTTGGTCCATCCATTCACTGGGGATCTTGTCTCTGTTATATTGTGACGCTTGGCCAAAAGTTTAAATATATTCTTTAGAAAGATAATGGGGAGGAAGGTGTTAAAGGAAAGGAGAGATAAGAGATAAAAGGACTTCAGGAGATATTTATGAATGGTATAGTTTACAATTATGTTTTAGAACTGTGATGAAATGTTATTGTACAATCTCATATTAATTTTGTGCTCAGGTCAGTTTAATTTTCTCTATGCCCTGAGTACTGGACTGTTGATACATGAGGCTTATTAAGACAGACAAGTAAGATAGAATAAGATGTGGCAGACTATTTGAAGGGAATTGGAATATACTGATGGGGTAACTTTAGGTTCTGATAAACACTGCTGAATTTCCCCTGTGACCTGGGCTTATTCCTAAGGTTAATAGCTCTGCTTACTGAATGTGCACATGACTGTCATGCACTGCTAGGCAGGCGGGTGGTTTATCTTGCAATGGATTTTCACAACAATCTTAAAATATATCTGCTGAGAACTTACACAAGGTCTTGATGCAAGCCAGTGGTTGGTGGAACAGAAGTCAGTGCTGTGCTCTGTGGCCGGAAATGCTCACTGCCCTGCCGGCGAGGATCTCATGGCGGGCAGAGCCGTTCTCATGGACTGGCTGCGTGTGTGATCCAAGCACTTCTTTAGCTTGTGCTTTGGCGCACTATGAAGGCTAGTAAGGACTGGCCTGACTGTCTCAGCTGCTGCAAGAGAATGGCTGATGGTGTGGGTGCCAGCAGGTAAAGGCAGTCAGACTTACTGTTGGGAAATAGCCAGGAGATTCAGGATGGAGGAGCTTCCTGGAAGCTGCTTTACTCTTGACTACTACTACATCCCAGCGGTGACATGGCAGGTGACAGTACCCCCGGTGGGCTGTAGGGGCATGGGTGCGGCCTCACTGCTCCACTGGGGCTGCCCCTCCGTTCTTCTGTTGGCTGTGGCTGTGCTCCTGGCTTGTCTGGAGAACTTATCTCCCACAATGTGTGCTTTCCAGTTTACCTTCCAAATCGTTTATGGCAGAAATGCCTTTAAAATGGAGATTCTTACCAAATCATCTGATGTAGATGTAAAATGATTAGAACTCACAAATGTTGTTTTATTTCTTAAATTTTATTTATTTTTATCGGAAAGTCAGATTTACATAGAAAAGGAAGTACAGAAAGTTGTTCCACTGGCTGGTTCACTCCCCAAGTGTCCACAATTGCCTCAATGACCAGAGCTGAGCCAATCTGAAATTAGGAGCTAGGAGCCAGGAGCCTCTTTTGGGTCTCCTGCATGAGTGCCAGGTTCCCAAGGCTCTGGGCTGTCCTCTGCTGCTTTCCCATGCCACAAACAGGGAACTGGATGGGAAGTGAAGTAGCTGGGGTATGAACCAGTGTCTGTATGGGATCCCTGCGCATTCAGGTGACTGTCCCACACATCACCTTCCCCTCCCTGTCCTTGTCCAGGTGTGTGCATGGGCAGCTCCACACGGCACATCGTGACGTTTGATGGGCAGAATTTTAAGCTGACTGGTAGCTGCTCCTATGTCCTATTTCAAAACAAGGAGCAGGATCTGGAGGTGGTTCTTCGTAATGGTGCCTGCAGCCCTGGGACACGCCCGACCTGCATGAAATCCATTGAAGTGAAGCATGGTGCCCTGGCCATTGAGCTCCACAGCGACATGGAGGTGAGAGACTATTTTTGGGGGACAGTAGGGACCCAGGGCAGGGCAGCAATAGAACACCAGGAAACCACCTGGACCATGTGCATTGGGCTGTTCATTGGCACTCCTAGTAGGGACCCTGCATTTTGCCTGGGAGCACAGCATCAGCTCCTGATGGGGGCTTGTTGCTGTACCCTTGATCTTGGCGCGATCTCATGTTGTTCTGGGCTCATATTGGAAGAGGAAATCAGTTTTAGATAACGTTAAATTGTGAATTTAGTGCCAGTTTCTGGCACTGGGAGAAAATCAGGGTTGGCACCAAGAATGTTTGCGTAGTAGGTGTTAAGAGGCTAGTGCCCAAGGCCTGTGTCCCTTCCAAAGAGAGAGATTTAGGTCCTTGGAAAATATTTAGAGCCCAGATCAAGTGTGTGGCTTCAAAATTCAGAAACTGCCAAAACCCATGTAAATCAATGTTTGATTAAATATTTACCAAAGGTTACATGATGCCAACTTCTTAACTTGTTCATTTAGAAATCATAAATATTTATTGCATGGAAGCAACTTGTCGGCTGAATGTTCTCACTTTGCAAGACTTTCTGAATATGAACAATAATTGCTGGAAAAATCATAGCTACTCATATATTACATGAGTCACTCATAGCCAAAAAGTGCAAAATCGAAATGATAAAAATAAACTCTTCCAATTTTTTTTAAACAACAATAAAATGTATTCATCACAGGATGTGGGCACATTTTAATATCTTTGATATGACATGTCGTGGGAATTCCAAAGAAAGTGCTTCCAGGGGCACACACCCAGGGCACAGAGAAAAGACTCTAACTGTGAAGAAGATAATTTTCCCAGTCTGTCTCAAAAGAGTCCTATGGACTCGGGGCTGGCTCCCTGTAGCCCCTGAGCTCAGGGTCTAGTGCATGAACAAACACTTGCACTGTTTTATAGTGATCTATGCTCCTGCCAAGGCCTTGAAAGTTATTCCATCAAAACTGTTGGCAGGTGCCAGCTTGTGTGGCTACACCTGTGACTGAATATGATATGAATGCCCAAGAACTCTCAGTAACTCCAGGAAGAGGCCAGGGTGATTGCAAGTGTTTGGCTCGGAAGTTAAGATGCATACTCTTCTCACTGGAAATTCTGGGTTCAGTTCCAAGCTCTGCCCTTGACTTGGTCTTCCCACCAGGGCCAGACCCTAGGCAGCAGAGGTGGTGGTCACTGAATGTGGGCGTCCTGAATTGAGTTTCCCAGCCCCTGGGTGTTGGACCCAAGCCAGTTTGGGCTGTTGTCATCTAGGGGAGTGAATCAGTTGATGGAAGCTCTTTGTTTCGTATTGATTAATGATAAATGATGATGATGATCATTGTAAAGGAAGTGAAGAATGAAGTTCTGGGATTCCTCATTGCCAAGGCTACTGATGAGCTTTGTCTTCCTTTCCAGGTGACAGTGAATGGAAAACTGGTGCCTGTCCCATACACGGGTGGGAACGTAGAAGCCAGTGTCTATGGTGCCATCATGCATGAAGTCAGACTCAATGATCTTGGCCACATCTTCACGTTCACTCCACAAAACAATGAGTTCCAGCTGCAGCTCAGCCCCAAGACCTTTGCTGCCAAGACGTATGGTCTGTGTGGTAAGAGCACGCCTTTCTTTCCACGCCACTTATGCTTCTAAGCTTTATTTGCTATACTGAGACTGTTGGGAGCTTATGTTTCTAGGCCCAGTGGCAAGGACCCAGTAGCAAGGTGCAGACCCTAATATGGGTGCAGAGGGAATGGCCACACTGTAGCGTCCAAGTGTGGAGCTGCCAGGACTGCTCATGTTGTCTTTGCTTATGTCTCCAGGCACTTGTGATGAGAATGGGGCCAATGACTTCATGCTGAATGACGGGACAGTGACCACGGACCTGCCACGGCTTATCCAGGAATGGACAGTGCAGCAGCCAGGGCAGACGTGTCAGCCCATTCCCGAGGAGCAGTGTCCTGTCTCTGCCAGCTCCCGCTGCCAGCTCCTCCTTTCGGCACAGTTTGCTGAGTGCCACAAGGTCCTCGATCCGGCCACGTTCTATGCCATCTGCCAGCAGGACAGTTGCAACCGAGAGCAAGTGTGCGAGGTGGTTGCCTCTTACGCCCACCTCTGCCGCACCAATGGGGTCTGTGTTAACTGGAGGACACCTGATTTTTGTGGTGAGTCTCCTTCTGTGTCTCTCAAATTCCTGGAGCCTCGCTGTAGGCTCCTCTACCTTCTCCAAGCTTTTGATGCTTGTCTAAGAAAAAGTCCCTGCAGTCTCTATCACCTGGATTCCAGCTAGTATAAAATGAGATGGTTGATGTAGAATTTCTAGGTGTGGTATTCCTGTGTAAAAAAATGTAATTGTTTTCTTCTACCAATGCTTCAGACAAGTGTAATTTGAATCTACTAGACACGTATAGCCATGAGCACAGAATGGTATAACCTGTCATACCGCATGTGGAATTCCATCCAGCTTTGACCAAGATTTGCAGGGTAGTTCATGCCAGAGCAAGATTTTGAACTGTGAGTGGCATTTTGTCATTCGATCACGAACAGGCTTATTTACTTATTTATTTGAGAGGCACACATACACCCATGCATGTGTAGACAGTTTCTATCCACTGGCTCACTCCCCAGAATGCCGAAGCAAGTCGTGGGTTGGAGGGACCCAACTAGCTGGGTCTTCACTGTATTCACCCTGGGAATGAGCTGGAAACTAGAGCTGAGGGCAGAGCCAGGACTTGAACCTAGACAGCTTGTCGAGCTGTTGGAGGCTTATAAGCACCTGGCATCTTTGTATTCACAAGAAGACACCTCAGGACTTGCTAAAGATGTGTAGATTTAAAAGACCATTCACGAGGGCTAGGTTTGGTTGCCGGTGGCAGAGGACTCAAGGTTGGCTGGAGCTCATCAGAGGAAGAGGTGGCTCTAGCTCCGGCTGGTCTGGGATGCCAGATGGAGTTTTCTCTCTTTGCTCCACACTTCCTTGGAATTTTTCCCCCTCTCATACTGTCACACTGAGGTTCCTGGCCATCTCTGCAGCAGAAAGTTTGTTGTTGTGGGTGGGGGGTGTTTCCACATGTGGCTGGTGTGGGCCTTGCAGAGCGACCTCCTTCTCTACCTGCAGCCATGTCCTGTCCATCCTCCCTGGTGTACAGCCACTGTGAACGTGGCTGCCCGAAGCACTGTGATGGCAACGTGAGCTCCTGTGGGGAGCACCCCATGGAAGGCTGCTTCTGCCCCCAGCGCCAGCTCATGCTGGGAGGCACCTGTGTCCCGGAGGAGGCCTGCACTCAGTGTGTGGATGAGGGTGGAGTTCGGCGACAGGTAGGAGCCCTGCTCTTGTGTCTCTGTGGAGTCACAAGTGGGAGTGTTCACCAGTGACACTGCCCTCCAGACATTTGCAGCAGGGTTGACTCATAAGGAGACCCTCGCGGGACAGAAAGTCAGTCAGTAATGATGGCTTTGGATTCAGGGATGTGTCAGTTCAAATCCTTGTGACCTTCATTCTCCTTTTACTTTTAAACCAGACATTTTTGGTGCATTTCTCCCCCCCCCCCCCCACTAAATCATGTTTTCTAGGAGATGAATTTCATTGGTAAGCCAATTATGACAATTCAATAACAGAGTAACACTTGTTCTTTTAAACTTTAAAGTCCATTCTATACTGAATGTAGGTAGGTTTTCCTTGCAATGACTTTCTTTTACCTTTGAAAATTTCTATCAAGGAAACAAATTTTGTGCATTTCACATGTTCAGTTCTCAGAGCATAATAATGCTTCCATCCTTACCCTTCCTCCTTTGAAATTTTGCAATTACATGCTCTTAAATTTACTTTGTAATTACAAGCTTAACCATCCACTAAATAGCGAATTCCACAAGGGTTCCATTAGGGGAGCATGTAGCCTGTCGACATGGGCTGCAGTTAGGACCTTCCATGGTCACCTAAGGAAGACAGCTATCGGTGAGTGGAGCAGGTGGGATACTGTGCCTGTGGAAAAGCTGGCCAGCCAACCTGAAGAAGGATGAAAACAGGAGTTCCAAGAATGACATGGTTCTGCCTTTGACCCTGGGGGCCAGGAGACATGCTGTTTTGCTCGGTTCTTCCCAAAGCTCTGTAGGGTGCTGTGAAGTGGGTGAGGTGCCTAAGGCTCAGACAGCACCAGGAGATAAATCTGGGATTCCTCTCCACAGTGCCAGATGATTCCGCATTGTCCCAGCCCTGCCACTTGATCTGTGCAGATCCACGGGCTGGCCTCTGGACCAGTGGGGGTGTTCGCATGAACGTGGGGATTGATTAGGGTCATGACTAGATGGGTCTCTAACCCCTTCATTCTTGTGTTGTGATGGATGAACTGGGAGAAAAGCATAGGTGTGGTCTACCACCACATTTCAGCTTGCGAGATGAAGTGATTGCCTATGCCATAAAGGTCCCCACAGGAGTTGGGGATCCCCACCCATCCCAATTTGCATAGCTCCTGGCTCTTACAGGGCTCAATGATGTGTAGTAGTTACCCAGGGTGCTAGCACCCAAGGGTGATTCCACTCAGGTTCTACTGGTGGTTGGAAGGTGCTGGTTTTCAGAGAGAGTGGAAGTGGTCTCTACGTCCTGCCTTGGTATTCTGGGATGGCAAGTGGCTCTCTGGAGTCAGGTGTTTGCGAAGTGCTGAAAGCAGGAATCTTGTGAAGTTTATCCTAAGGTCTTCACCCCCACCGCTCATTCTGCTACCTATGCCCTCCATCCACCCCCAAATCCTATTCCCTCTCTTCTTCAGCCCGACACATTAGACCAGGAATTTGAGTTGCCAGAGAATTGTTCCAAACAGTGATTATTTATATTTAATTTTTTTGAGAGGCAGAAGGGGATGGGGAGAGCTCCCACCTGCTGGCTCACTTCCCAAATGCTGGCAATAGCTGAGGTTGAGCCATGGCTAAAGCTGGGACCCTGGAATTCCATGTTGGTGGCAGGAACCCCGGGGAGCAAGTTCAGGTGCTCCTACCTGGGATATGGGTGGTCCTAACCAGTGTCTTAACCACTAGACAGACACCAGCCCCAGTGCAATATTTTGGACACAGGACCATCCTTGTAGATATATTTAAATAAATCCAACAGCATAAAATCAGGTAACTGAAGACTTTGGAAAGCCCACAGCCCGTTTTAGGACTTTCAAATGCAGTTTCAATGGAAGAAGGCAAACACCCAGCCACCTGTATTTTTAACTCTGACTTTCAAAAAAAGAAGAAAGAATAAAATCTTGTCAAGACTCTGCATTCCATGAATTTTTGAGCTGGAAAATGAAGCCCAGGAAACGTTCTTTAGGGAAATCAACTGGGGTGTAAATCTGCTTTCAGAACTTCAGAAGCACAAAATATTTGCCAGTCTCCATAGTTTTGCTTCTCGTATGGAGTTGCATGGCAATGACGTGAGAATCCCCAGGCTGACTGGGGCAGTCCTCTTCTTGCCTGCCCAGGTGCTGCTACTGTGGCTGGAGGGGGCACAGGATGCAAGGGCTCCAGGACCATGTCGATTGTCCATTGCCAGAAACCTAGGTCTGGGCCTCTCTTCCTCCCCTGGTCCTCATAGCCTTGCTCTCTGCAGTCAATGCATTTGCACCTTGCATGCTAGTAGGTGGTGCAACACTTGCTTGTGTATCTTCTCTGGCTTTGTGAAGGCTTCCGTTTTCCCCTGCCGTATTCCCTGTAGGCCATCTTTTGTCGCCTTTATTGACTCTTACACCTGTCTGTTCCAGTGATATTCAAGCCTGATGTTAACAGCTGGAGGACAAGCCAGGCAGCAGGCCAGACTATGCGAGATGCAGGCGCGCCCCCTGCTGGCCGCTGGCTGCACAGCCTAGTGAGGTCTGCAGAAAGAACTTGGGCAGCTCAGCCTTCATTTCTGCAGGCCTGATTGGTCCTGTTCACAGTGTTGGGGCAACCTGACGGGAAAGAGAAAAACCTCTAGAGAAGGAGGTTGCATCCTGGCCATCTGCTTGTGTGTTTATGGTGGTGATTGCTCTTCCAGGCAAGCTGGGTAATCCAAGCATACAAAGTCTCTCACTTCTTGCACCATTTCACCCCCATCCCACCCTCCGAGGCTTTGCCCTGGATCCTCTCAGCCCATGGAAAAACCCCTGGAGTGATAAAATGCTGCAGCCTCTCCCTTTATCCTGCTAGCCCTGGTGCTGTGTTTATTTAAGGCTCTTCTTGGAGGCCAAAGCCTGACTGCCCCATCCCCGCTGAGCCCACCCCAGGGCTGCAGCAGCTCCCCACCCCGAGTTCATTATCAGCTTCTCATGTTTTCAGGCACTGTCTTTGGCCCCTCGGCCTTGCTCCCACTCCAGGTTACCCCCACTCCACACGTGCTGCCTTCGGGCCTCTCGGCTCGATCAGTCCCCACTTGGAATCCCTTCTGCTTCCTCTTGGAGTGGGCCTTCCCTGCCTTCAAGGTCACCTTTACCAGATCAACTGAAGTATCCAGCCCCAAGAAACCCTTCTGCACTTCTGTGGCTTGTTCACTTACTTTTAATTAATTAGGGATACATACATACAGAGAGAGAGAGAACATTCATTGGTTGTTCCCCAAATGGCCTCATGGTCAGAGCTGAATCAATCTGAAGTTGGCAGCCAGGAGCTTCTTCAGGGTCTTTCATGTGGGTAACAGGGACCCAAACACTTGGGCCATCTTCTGCTTTTCCCCTGGCCATCAGCAGGGGGCTGGATCCAAAAAGTCAAATTCAGATTCAAACTGGTGACTGAATGGGATGTTCCGGTGTTTATAGGGGTGGCAGGATCAGCTTTACCCACGATGCCACAGTGCCAACCCTGGCCTAGAGTGGTACTGTCCTCTCTTCGGCTCTTTTTGTCTCATGGTCTTACGTTGATTCCAGAACTAAATGGTGGTATTTTTCCCTAAGTCACAGTCCCATTTCTCCTTTGGCTTGGGAAATGCTTAGCAGGTGCCCAAACTTTGGGCATCCACAGTTGGTCTTTCTCGCTATGCTTGATTTGAACATCACCCTAGGAAAAGGATCAAGTGCAAGTTCTTGCATTTCTAAAGGCTCTGGTTTGTCATCTTCCCCCCAGCCTCCAATTTACAGAGCAATATGGGGAGGCCTCCCTGGGGGCCTCAAGGCTTGTCCAGCTCGTTTCCTCTTGGGAGCCACTTCCCACCTTGCTATAGTTCATATGTGCAGCTCTACCAGGGGTCACTCAGGGAGTGGCCTGTACCTGAATGAAGCTGCTGGTAGTGGGGAGGACTGGCTTCCGTTACTTCCTCTGGGGCTTTGTGTTGGCCCTCTCTCAGCCTCGCTTTCTCCTCAGTTCCTAGAGACCTGGGTCCCTGACCACCAGCCCTGCCAGCTCTGCTCGTGTCTCAGCGGCAGGAAGGTCAACTGTACCTCACAACCCTGCCCCACTGCCAAAGGTGAGCCAAGCCGCCCTCCCTGGTGCCACTCCTTCTCAGGGCCAGAGAGCCGGGTCATTCCTCGATGCACCTGCTGCTGAATTCCTTTCCTCATTCTGTGCCTGGAGTAGCCCCTTTGAGGTGTGTACCTGTTTCCACCATGGGCCTTGGAGCCTAAATTAGAAGGTGTCAGTAAGGCACCCTGGGGAGACTCACTGAGTTGGAAGCTTATGGCCTGAATTGCATGAGGGCTGTGTTGATTTTCAGTGAGTGAACATACTTTGAGTCTTGCTTAGGCTGTGCCAGGATCTGCTTCTTGGTGATTCTGTGGCCCTTCTCCTGCAGCTCCCACGTGTGGCCCATGCGAAGTGGCCCGGCTCCACCAGAGCACCCACCAATGCTGTCCGGAGTACGAGTGTGGTATGTAGCTCACCCTGCCTACTTCTTTAGAGTCAGCCCCAGCCCTGGGCAAATGATGCAGAGTCTGGCAGGTGGAGGCGTGTTGTCAGGTACAGGGCAGGCAAACGGAGCAGATGAGAGCTGGCTCATTCTTTTTCGTGCCCAACCCCCTCAAAACAAAACAAAACCAAAAACAGAAACAAGAAAGAAGAACCACTTTTGGAAAATAGGATTTGTTTCTATAAAAAAAATCCTACAGTGGATATTAAAGGCATGTTGGTAAAAGGCAGGTGGTTACTGGGGGCTAGAGGGGTTTGCTGAAGCAAGGGTCATGCTAGACAAGGTTATTTTTGTTTTTCAAAGAGGTGCTGTGGACAAGCAGATGGTGAGGAGGTTAGGTGTGGAGGGGGTTTGCCCTGGGTGCGCTGATTTCAACAAGCCATTTGTGGCAGAGGGTGGAGACGGGTTTAGGGCATGCTTGCTAATAGCAGAGTGAGCAGAGGGCAGACGGAGGGTTTGATTCAGCACACTCCAAGCTGGTGGAGTTATGGCTGGTCCGGCTGGAAGGCTCCAGGGCACTCAGTTCCGGGCTGCTGTGAGTGTATGAACTATGGCAAAGACATGAAGCACAGCACACGGGCTTATGAAATCTGCAGGGACCCAAATCTTCAAGGGAGGGCATGTCGATTAAGGAAGGAACCGAGGAGCAGAGACACAATGAACTCCTCTGAGCAATGCGTTTATGCTGATGCTGTTGATCAGAAGTGCACGGGGTGGGGAGAGAGCTGGCTTGAGGACAATTTGTGCAAATATGCCAGCAAGAGAGAGACCTAGAGGCATCGTTTGGTGGAAGACCCTCGTGTTATTGATATTATTCAACTTCTGCTATGGGATGGGCATGCGACTGACCTTTAGTATTTCATGGAATCCTCCAATGAACTCTGTAAGCAGAGCTCCTGTCTTAGGAGGGAGTTAAGACTTGGCTGGACGAGGCAAGTTCTAGCAGGTGAAAATAACAATCAGTAAGAGGTTAGCTTGTGACTTGGATCTGTCACTCTGCCTCTACCATGTATGATCTATATACCATCTACCCACATTTCTGTTTCCCTATCACATATTCATAATTTGTCTCTCTCATCTACCATCTGTCTCTATTTCTTGTCTCCATCTCTGTTAATCTCTCCCGACTCCTCTCTCTCTCTACTCTATCTCTCAACACTAGCTCAAACACTCGATGCATGAACTGGAGTGGAGGCAGTAAAAAATAAACTTACTGACCTGGGTGTGGATTTTTGTCTTTCCTCACCTCCAGTGTGTGACCTTATGAATTGTGTCCTGCCTCCGGTGCCTCCCTGTGAAGATGGACTGAAGGTGACACTGACCAATCCAGGCGAATGCAGACCCAACTTCACCTGCAGTAAGACTTGTGTGGATGGGCCACCAGGGGAATTCAAGCCACTCTCTTCCAGCCTGGTGGTGGGGGTGGGGTGGGGGTCGGGGGTGGCAGGAGAGGCTTTCTTCTTCTTGGGGGACCTGTTCCAAGGTCATGTCATGTCCCGTTTTCCAGTTCGCTAAATCGGAGTGTGAGGTCTATTTGGAAATGAGGGTTCAAGTCACATCTGAGTTGAATCCTGAACGATTTCCTCTAACTGCTGGAGGCATACCAGGTGTTGGCACAGCTACAAGCACTTCCTTTCGGGTTGTATTAAGCAGCAGTCGGGGTGGTAGGAGAAGGCTTCAGATCCAGTCTTGGTTTATTCCCACTCCCTCCCACGCTGTCCCCCCACAGTGCCCCCTTATTGTGTCTTCATCACTGGATTTTATTCCCAAATTTACAGACTTTCTTTTTCCTGGGGGATCTTTTCTTTTATATTTAATCACAAACGATTATAGTTGAAGCATGGGGTTGGACTAAATAAAGACATGGCAAGAAACGAGCATGCTCACTTTTAGACAAGTGGAGTTCTTATTCTGTGAGTTTGGAATCTCCCTTGAATTCGTCCATGTAAGGTCTCAAGGATGGGAGGAGATGTGGTACTGGAAGAATATTGGCACTAGGCAAAGAGCCCAGGGATGGGATTTAGCACGTAGAAAATGGCATTGTGGATTTGATAGGATTGCCTGCAGTCTTTTATCCCATCTTGTTGGAAGACCTAAAACTGCAGAGGAGTATTCCAGGTTCCAAGGTGGGGTAGGGTCACATAAGCCGCCGGTGTATTCAGGGGCTGGGCAGCCTATCCAAGTCTGCACGTGATGGCTGTGAGAAGCAGTGGTGGCTCAGATCCCAGACCTTGCCGAAGTCCCTGGGAGGGGACTACAGCAGAGCTCCAGCAGCCTTGCTTCTCGGTGGAATCCTCAGCCTCACATTTCTCCCTTGGACTCCTGTTATTTTTCTACACGCCGACTGCTTTCCAGGATGCTGGAGTGCCCTGCAACCCTGCTCTGGGAGTCTGATTTCATCCCCTGAGTCGACAGTTCCCTGGGAGTCTGTGTCAGAACTGAAAGCATAGGAACCCTGGCTGCGTGCCATGCTCACCACCCCGTGCTGCCCCTCTCTCAGCCTGCCGGAAGGAGGAGTGTGAAAGGATGTCCCCACCCTCGTGTCCCCCCCACCGGACACCAGCCCTGCGGAAGACCCTGTGCTGTGATGACTATGAGTGTGTTTGCAACTGTGCCAACTCCACGGTGAGCTGTCCGCTCGGGTACCTGGCCTCCACCACCACCAACGACTGTGGCTGCATCACCACCACCTGCCTCCCTGATAAGGTAGGGGAGGAGCTGCTAGCTCCGGCTGGGATGCTGGCCAAGCCCGTGCTACTCATGGATGATCTGCTCCTATCCATCCGTCCCTTCCTGACCAAAGCAAGTGCTGCAGGGCTTGGTGGGTGGGCAGTTAACCTTCCAGGTCAACCTAAATGGAAATGAAGTGAACTTAGGACCCATTTCTTTTTAGCAAAGAGAGGTGCTAAGGTTATATAGAATGTGTAAGGCATGGCCTCACCCTTTAGGAGCTTATTTGTAGGTTGATGAAGGAAATAATATGATTGCAAAGATTAGGGATCAGTTAACAGCTTATTTATTATTTGTTAACTGTTGCAGCCAGTCTTGATAATCTGATTCCCCACATTTCTTTCATAGCATACAGTTCTTCCAAACAGGATCCTGATCTCTCAAACATATCCCATTCCCTGTGCCTTTGGATCTTTGCTTGTTGTATCCCTTGTCATTTCTGGGTCTCAAGGGTTCAGATATCCATAGCTGCTAACCAATCCTCCTCCCTGTTGTCAGTCTGCTTCTAAGGGGACAGAGGCGTAGAAGTGAGTGGGTTCAAGTCCAAGGACATGACTGTTTGGCTTTTGGCATACTTCTCAGCGACATAGGAAAAGCTGAGTACAGGCAAGGCAAAGGAGAGATGGTTCATGGTAGCCAATGCATTGTATCTGAGCCTGTGGACAGGTGAAGCCTTTCAAAAGGTCATCACAGGGTGGATTGCACCTTTCTGAAGCTGATGGACTGCAAAAGGAAGAGGACAGCATCTGTATGAGTTTATTCATGGCTTCAGGCTCAGGACTTTTATTGCTTCCACATAGTAGATATTTACTAATCAGGTGCTTAAATGAACTGAATGAGCCATCACTCACCAAAACCTTATGTCTACAGGTGTGTGTCCACCATGGTACCATTTACCCTGTGGGCCAGTTCTGGGAGGAGGGCTGTGATATGTGCACCTGCACGGACATGGAGGATACAGTGATGGGCCTGCGTGTGGCTCAGTGTGCACCAAAGCCATGTGAAGAGAGCTGTCGGACGGTGAGTAAGATGCAGGAGCTGGTGAGTGCATGGGGTCTCCGAGGAGGAAGTAGGGGAGGAGATGTTAGGAAGGGGTGAGGAAGGCAAGAGGGGAAGAGAAACAAGGAGGATGGGGCTGGGCAAAGATAAGGAAATATGACAGGAGGATTGTTATGCCACCCTCCCATGATTCACTCCTTGGCTGATGGCCATGTCTGTGGTGGCAGAGCTGGTTTTGAGCAGAAACACGGAGGAGATTCAATGTCTAGGAAAAGGACCTGATTCTTTTCTCTCTCTCCTCCCCCTTCAGACATCACTCTAGTCCATTCCTGGAATGGACAAATGTTTTTGTGTTTTCTGGAAGTGTCTCAGTTTTCATGCATGTCGTGTTTCCACTGGACTGGTGATTTTCAGAGCACATTTTTAACAGGTTGCAAAAAACATGATCACCGTCCCCCATATTCAGTCCATAGTGGCCTTCTCCTAAGGCTCTGGTGGGTCCTGAGACATCCTCTTCTGACATACTGGAAACTGACCAGAGAAAGGGAGTAAGAGTCTGCAGGGAGAACTGTGGGTCTCATTCAGCTTGTTGGTTTAATCCATCATGATTCCTCCATCATCATTGTTAACAAAATTGCCAGTCCAGGTGCATTACGTCTTATGGCTGCTTTTGAAGATATTGGCAGCAGTGAAGGTAATACCTTTAATGCTGTTTTGGAGATACATGGTTTGTTGGCAGAGGAAGGTGTGGGAGTGAATGCAGGAATAAAAGAAGCATTCCATTCATTTGCTGTACTACCTGCATCGCCGGAGCTAAGGATGAGCAGAGCTGCCGCTAGGTGCCTTGGCAGGGGAGGAGGCTGTGGTCCTTGGTATATCTTTTGGGAATGTTTAGGTCTTGAAACCCTTTGATCTCCAACATCTTTCCAGAAGCCCTGGAAATTTTCACCTCCATTACAATCTCCCAAATCTCTGTTACGGATGTGATCTGTCGTGGTAGGTGATATTCATGACTATTGTAATGGTTCTCTTGAGATCTCTCAGAAAGAAGAAGGGGAGATGGTCTTTCCTCTTATCAGACAGGAACTATAAGGACCAGCACAGGGAAGGGGTTAGGCCCTGCTCTGGAGCAGATCTGAAGCTGGCAGAAATGGCAACGTCCTGATCCTAAGTCCAGGGACCGTTCTGGGAGGCCAGTGCAACCAGCAGCGACTGTGTTTCAAGCACCTGAGTCTGGCCCAAGGAGGGAAGGAGTCACCATCTCTTAGGCGCCTCAGCAGAGGGCAAGGGACCAGAACTCCATGTCTCCGTTTCACCTATGGCAGCTGTACTTAAAGAAGTCAGATCATGATTAAATCAAGAATATACCTTTCAGTGGTCATTGTGTATAGGTTGGAGGGATAGCAAGACTACTTAGATCCATTTTTAATGGTAGGGAAACCAATGCAAACAAGATGGAGTAAAGAGCTGGGAGAAGGGTGTGATGGATGTTTTAATGCACTATGTTAAATGTAGACATAAGACAGAAGATTTGAAGGAGTAAGGGAAAAGAAAGATGAGCATATAGGATGAACTTGGGTTGCTCAGCAGTGGCTCCAGGGCACTGTGGAGGGAAGATGGCGGAAGGGCAGCAATCTGCTGGTATGGTTAGGTGTATCTGATCAAGAGGAGCTAGAGGAGTCTTGGGGGCTAAGGTTTTTGGCCTGAGAGTCAATTGCAACAGTCCGGGAGCTTGCTTGTGGTGAGAGACTACAGCAAATGCAAAGAATACCTAGATCTGGATCGCTTGGCACTTTGAGAGACAAGAATCCCTACAGATGTTCACGAGCCTCTGCAGGTTTCCCCAGAGTTCTGTTTCTTTCCTGATCCTGTACGTCCTGCCTCTTCGAGGAACGCGTGCTGACAGCCTAGTTTGTTGGCTCTGCCACAGGACCCTTGTGTATCTGAGAGAGGCACAGTAAATGACCAGAGCCTCCACTCCATGCGCACTGCTCTGACGTGAGCAGGGATGGCAATAAGTCCCATAGAGATGGTGTGAAGTTAAGCCAAGTCTCCAGGGTGCCTGTGCTCCCCTGGAGAGAAGCACAAATACTGTGTATCTTCTCATGTGGTCCCGGGTGTGCGTGGGCTTGGAGAATAGAACAGGTTTGGCCATGCTGAGCAGTCTCCATGCCTCTTTCTCTCTAAAAGCCACAGCTCCAGGCAGAAGCAAAGTCCTGGTGGCTCTTGGTTTTCATGGCAACCAAGGTGCCATCACCATCTTGCCTGTTCTTGTCCGATGCCCTCTGAGTTTTCAGAAGAGGACTTCCATTCAAGTTTCTTATGGCCGAAACGAAGCCATTCAAGATGCAGGATAGACTGCCAAACTCCCAGTACACGGGTCTCTTTGGCAGGCTTTCTGAGTGGGAGGTGAGCTGGTCTCTTGCTTGTTCGTCTCATTTTCCTTGTTTAAAGAATACTGAATCCCATAAATCACTTGGCAAAGGTTAAGCAACCATCAGGGGAAACTCAACACTGCATGTCTGTGTGAGGTACTGAGAACAGAGTACTCCTCCTGTGAGAGTGGTTAGTCCAGTTAGAGCAGAGAGTAGATTTCTAGCCTGGGTATTCCTCCCCAGCCAATGAGGTGCCTTAGATTTTGCCACAATAAATGTCAGACTTGTTAGCTGTTAGTGCATTGGAACTGTTCTTCCCACCCCCATGGTCTGGTCTCACAAGTGTAGAGTGAGGCCCAGTGGTTCAATTGGTGCTTCCAAAGCATGGCTTGACAGCAACCTGAGGCTGGTTTACAACAAAGAGAGGTGTCCAGTCCCTTGGTCTCCTTGCAGAGCCCCAGGGCACAGCACACCTGGGCAGCGGATGAGAACACCCATGTCTTCATGGCCTGACTTGTGCTCACTTTCTGTCCTCTGTTTTTCCAGGGTTTCACCTACGTGCTGCATGACGGAGAATGCTGTGGGCGGTGTCTGCCCTCTGCCTGCGAGGTGGCAGCAGGCTCATCGCGAGGAGACTCTCAGTCTTCCTGGAAAAGTGTGGGTTGAGGCTGCGGGGAGGGTGGGGAGGAGGGCAAGGCATGACTGAACTGGGTGTCCACTCTGTAGTGAAGTGTTGATTTTGCCCCACTGCCTTCCTTCCTGCCCTGTGCGGCCCCCATAGGGAGGTTAAACCCAACTGTTGGTGTGATGCAGGAGCTGGCTGGGCTGACTTTGACCCTTAGGAATGACTGACTGCCTTGGACTTCCAATTTGGGGAATTCTTGGAGAAGTCTCATGCCTCCCAGGGAGTTGGAGCTGCAGCTTTTCTGAGCCATGGCCTTGAGCTTTGTCAGTGCTCTCTGTTCAGTGCTGGTCACTTCTGGGATGGATTGCAGAGTGGTGATGGGTCTGAGGCCATTGAAGGCATGTCTTCATCTTTCCATCCAAGCCTGGAAAATGGGTGGGATTGCCTCTCTCTGCTGCTTCTTGGTTCCAGTGCCCTTGAGTTCAGCTCAGGGTCCAGGCTGAGGTGGCATACAGTAACCCTAAGATGGCTGAAGTGAGTGGTTGCAGAACAGGGCTCTGAGATAGGGCCTTGGTCTGGGTGACTTTGACCCAGGCCTACTGAATGTTCACATGGATGAGCTCCGTTCACTCCCTTGGTGGCCCTTACCCTGAGTTTTGTGTGTATGCATATTGGCAGGGGTCAGTGGGTGGAGCGAGTCCAGACAGACACCTGGAGCCCAAACCAACTCTCAGAGAGGACACCACACCACTCCTGGACCCTAGGGCCTTTGTCTGCCCTGTGCTGACTGTGACTCTCTGCAGGTGGGCTCTCGCTGGGCCTCCCCTGAGGACCCCTGCCTCATCAATGAGTGTGTCAGAGTGAAGGAGGAGGTGTTTGTGCAGCAGAGGAACGTCTCCTGCCCCCAGCTGGACTTCCCTACATGCCCCGTGGGCTTCCAGCAGAGTTGTAAGACTTTGGAATGCTGTCCCAGCTGTCGCTGTGGTAAGTCACGGTGGCCAGATCCCACCTTCAAGCCTCTCTTTCCACTTCTGAATTCTTTGGTTTTTCTTTTCAGCTCCCCAGGGAAATGGGCAAGCTCAATATCCTTTCCTCTGTTCCTCATGCTTTTCGGAGAGGCATTTCCCGAAGGTTGCCACATGCTTAGTGGTGGCTTTTGAACTTGACCTCACTTCAGTAGCCCCTGGAAGCGGGCACTATTCCTACTTCCCATTCATTCATGAAGTGCTGGAGAGAGGTGGAGCTGGGATGTGACCATGACCCCCAGGCTTGTTTCATTTTGGAGACTCTGCCTCCCCAACTTTCTACTATGTTACCACTCCTGAGGGTCTGGCCTCATGCTGGCCTTCCTTGGACAAACACATGGCAACCCCCAAATCACCTCTCTGCCACACTGCCCTAACTCTGCGTTGGCACCGACAGTTTCAGGTGTAGGATTTCATTCTTTTGTAACAACATCCTTCTCGTTCCTCCCTTGCATGTAATGTCATGTAAGCAAGCATCATCCCCTAGAAGGTGTGCTAGGCTGTTATCATTGGGGGCTGCGGGTGAGGCATCAGGCACCCAGCCCTTCCTTGTCTGGGAAAGGATGGTTTCCATGGGTGTTGGCAGTAGGACCTACTGGGGTGAAGTCGATGAGAAGAACCAGTGGATACTGGAGGGGTGCCATGGAGGAGAAGGTCCCAAGGGACAGACTGTATGCCAGCAGGTGTCCTATATATTCACACTCCATTCATCTCTCCCCAGTGCCCGTGGAGGCGTGTATTCTCAATGGTACCATCATCGCGGTGAGTGGCTGCCACCTGCTATGGGACGAGTGGCAGGGCACCATCGGAAGGCGGGCAGCAATGTACTGTAAAGTGGAGATGGAAGGAACAGTGGAGCCCCACCCCACCTGCTACCACCCCAGGGCTTCCCAGGCACCCCCACCCAGGCCTGTGCCCCTGCCCTGGGTGCATCTGTGGCTTGGCTGCTTCCACCCTGGCAGTCTCCAAACTTGAGATGGGGAGAGTGGGAAGGGAGTGAAAGTGTTGGCTCCGGGAGCTGTGGGTGTTAGGGCAGGGAGTAGTTAGGAGTTTAAGGTGAGGAGGAGGGCTAGGGGACTTTGAGGATGCTGGGTAGGACTGACTCTGGCTCTGCTTGTAGCCCGGGAAAAGCGTGATGATTGATGTGTGCACCACGTGCCGCTGCGCTGTGCAGCTAGGGCCTGTCTCCGGGTTCAAGCTGGAGTGCAGGAAGACCACATGCGAGGCCTGCCCCCTGGTAAGAGGGCATCATCGGGGTTCACGGGGATGGGCTGGAGCACTAAGACCCCCTGCCAGGGGGCCCCTCTGGGCTCTTTGTGCAGATTGTTCATTATATTCTGATTATGGATGATATTTGATGATCATAAGGAATAGTTACTCAGTCAAATGGCATCTTTCAGGAAGAAACTTGAAAACATTGTTTTTCTGTATGTCATATGGTTATATTTTTAACTTTAGAGGAAAGAGAGATTCTGCATTTGCTGGCTCATTCCCCAAATGTCTGCAGTGGCTGGGAAAGGGCTGGGTCCAAACCTGGGAGACTCAATCGAGGTCTCCCATGTGGTTGTCAGAGACCCAATTACTTGAACCATCATCTCATGCCTCCCGGGGTATCCATTAGTAGAGAAGTGGAGTCAGAACTCAAAGCCAGGTACTTCAACATAAACATGGGCGTTTTATCTGATATCTTAATCATTGAGCTAAATGGCTGCTTCCTTGCATTTTTTTCAAATTAACACAGCATATGTGAGGCCTATGATAAAATTGTTATACTTGTGTATCTAGCTTACGGCAATATTTTAAGAAATGTAATTACTATTGTTTTGGAAACATCATCACTTAGTCATTACTTATGAGATATTATGTGCAAAGTTTTACATGACATTCCTTTGGCTAGATGTGCCTCAGTGTGTACAGCCAAGCTGTTATCACTGGATATTCAGGTGGCTGAAGATGTTGCAGCCCTCTCTTGCCAAAGCGTGATGACTGAGTTTCATCAGAATCCCTTTTTAAAGTGGATTCTGACCAGTGGCATCCTCATTTCTAGTTTGGGAGATGGAAGCTAGCACTGCATAATTTTTTAAAAGCTGTATTTCATTATCTATTATTTGAAACAGATTTTTTCCACCTGCTGGTTACTTCCCCACGATCTCATAATAGATGAGGCCTGGCTGGGCCAGGACAAAAATCAGGAACTGAGGCTCTGTCCTGTGTTTCCATAGGCATGGTAGGAATCGAAGTACTTGAGCCATTACCACGAGGGCACAAAAGCAGGAAGCTGTGACTGGAAGCAGGGCGGGGATTCAAACCAGGCACCCCAGAGTGGGATATAGCCATCCCAAACAACATCTTAGCCATTGAACCAAACATCTGCCTCACTGGATTCTTCTAACTTTGAGTCTTAGCCTACTTCACTGAGAATGTCCAAGGCACATAGAGCAGAGCTGAAGGCCTTGCTTTCTTCATCAAACTCCTCTGAATGTGGGGTTCCTTCTGTTTTAGGAAATGCTTGAGTCAGATGGGTTGTGAGCCAGAGGCACAAAATAAAGGTGTGACTGGTTCAGTTGTCATGGAGATGTGAGGGGCGTCCTTCCTGCACTTGCTGAGGTGCCAGGCTCTGCTGCAGAGGAGGCCGGGGCACAGGCAGAGTCCATGAGGGCCACTGGGCCAGAGGACATTTGGAGGGGTTGGCGATAGAGGACAAGGAGCAAGGGTTTCAGGCAGGTGTTTTCTACTTTTGTGGGATAAAGGGACAAGTGTTCTCTATCTGTGTTCTCTGTGGCACTTAGCAAAGGATCATGTTCAAACAATAAAATGTATGTGGAGTGGATGGGTTGGAGGTGACAGCTATACACTAGTTAACTGTGTGTGTGTGTGTGTTTTTCTATTAAAAATCCCAGTGAATATTTTGGATTTGGGACTGTGTGTGTTTGTGTAGAACCACCCTAGAATACACCTGAGTCTTGATATGGAATCAAGTATTTCTGTCTGCAATGACCTCATCCCTTTACCCTGGAGGGGACACAGCAAGAGGCCCACCCCAACGCTGTTCCTGAGCAGAGGAGGGCTGTGGCTTGATCAGAGGTCAACTCATTGATCGGGACAGTGACCTTTGGTGCAACATCCCTTCCGCCATCACCGCAGAAATGCGACCTCAAGGCAGGTTTCTACATATTTAAAACTCTGCAGCTCCTTCTTCCCTCAGAGATCCTGGTCGCTCCCACCGCTTTCTGACCACGCCTTCTATGCGTCTGAAACTTGCCCCAGGCCACCTCCTTCTGTCTCAGCATCCTGCCCCAGTCTTGGTCTGCTCCTCTGCGGGCAGGATTGGCTTGTGTTAAGAACAGGTGTCTGCTTGGATTCTGTCCTCCTGACAACTGGGTTAACTCTCCTGAGACCTGAGGGCTCCGTCTCTCCCAGGACGGTGCTCCACTTACGTGCAAAACAGGAGCAAGGGTGTGTGTGTGTGGGGGGCTCCCTCCACCCCTCTCCAACACCCTAGCTTCCAGGGGAGGAGGGCCCTGAGCTGATCTGGAGCAATGGGTAAGATGCTGAATAGATGAACTTCCAGGAAGGAGAGAGGGGTCAACGCGGGGTAGGGAGCTAAGACTGGAGGCCTGGAAACAAGGAAAGAATGCGGGAAAAGGGAGCTGATGACGAGTTTCAGAGGGAGACCCTGCTGGGGAAGGAAGCAGGACTAATCGGCTGCTAATTAGGACTAATTGTCCTCCCCGGTGAACTCTGGCTGGCTGGGAATTGGACTCAGCAGGCGGGACAAAGGCTGCTGGAGGAGGAGGTGGTTTCCTGCCAGGATGGAGTGCTATGTCAGAGCCCGGACTACTGGGCCCGCTCTGTGCGCTGCAGCATATGGAGTGCACCTGCGGTCGCCGCAGCCGGAAGTCCAGCCGCGCTCGGGCGAGTTCTCAGCACGCGCGCGGTGGGCAGCAGCGGCCATCTGGCCCGCACGGCAGCAGGCGCGCGGCGGGGTCTTCCTTCGTCCTTTCTGAGCTTCCCGTGTCTGGCCCGAGCCCCTGCCACACCCTGAAAACCATTGCCTGTCGTCGTTCTCCACCTGCTCTTCCCTCCGCTGCGGCTTCTGCTGTTGGCTCACCTTGGCCCTTTGTCTCCTGGTTGGGTGGATTTGGCCTCCATGGCGCCCTGTCCTTCATCCCACTGCTGTCATTTTACAGTTAAGTGTTGAAACACAAAGCCTTAGTCCTTCGATCTCTTGCTTTGTCCAGATGTTTTTGGATAGCTTTTGTCCTTTCCATTTCCTTATTCATTTAGAGCCATTTGGCATTTTTTATAGAAAAAATTTAAAGTGTCATGGATTATATTGAGCTTATGGGCTATTCTTAAGGAAACAGACATCTAGACAATACTGAGTATTTCAAACCGTGAACATAGAATACGTCTTCGTGTATTTATATATTTGCCTCAGTTCATTTGTAGTGCTGTAACGAAATGCCTGTAGAGAACAAAAGTAGATTTTCTCACAGATCTAGAGGATGGGAAGTTCAAGCTTCAGGAACCAGTGTAGTTGTGCGGTAAAGGCCTTTCTTCAAAGGAGGCATGTTCTTGTTCTTAAAGTTTCATTTATTCATCTATTTGAAAGGCAGAATGATAGAGAGGGCTGGAGGAGGGAAAGGCAATGAGAAAGGGAGGCGGTGTTACATCTTCTGGTTCACTCTCCAAATAAGTCCGAAGCCGAGAACTGCATCCCGTTTTCCCATCTGGGTGACAGGGACCACTTCCTTTTGAAAGGCACACTACACACACACACAGAGCTCTTATCCATTGGTTCACTTCTTAAGTGGGTTTTTTTTTTAAGATTTATTTATCTTTTATTGCAAAGTCAGATATACACGTGGAGGAGGAGGAGAGACAGAAAGGAAGATCTGTCCAATGATTCACTCCCCAAATGGCTGCAATGGCCGGAGCTAAGCTAATCCAAAGCCAGGAGCCTCTTTTTTTTTTTTTTTTTTAAATAAATCTTTTTTTTTTTTTTAAAGTGCCTTCCCAGCATTTTATTTTTTTTTTTAAGATTTATTTATTTGTATTACAAAGTCAGATATACAGAGAGGAGAGACAGAGAGGAAGATCCTCCATTTGATGATTCACTCCCTGAGCGATCACAATGGCCGGTGCTGCGCCTATCAGAAGCCAGGAACCAGGAACCTCCTCCAGGTCTCCCACAGGGGTGCAGGGTCCCAAGGCCTCGGGCCGTCCTCGACTGCCTTCCTAGGCCACAGGCAGGGAGCTGGATGGGAAGTAGGGATGTTGAGAAATAAATTGGCACTTACATGGGATCCTGGTGTGTGCAAGGCAAGAACTTTATAGCCATAGGCCACCACGCCGGGCCCTGAATGTGTCAAATGCTTTTTCTCTTATATTTTGTGCTATTGCTGTCATAGAGTTAACTATTTCATAGGAGATAAATCCCACATAGTACTGTTGTCATTTTTTTTTCTGTAAACAGTCGATTGTCTTCTACAGAATTTAAGAACTAAAATGATATTTTATGTTTAACTACATATTTATAATTTCAGTGTGCTTTCTTTCTCCATATCTGAATTTACAAGTCAGAGCGTTTCCCTTCAGCCTAAAGAAAATCTGCATGTAGCATTTTTTCAGTGTGGGCCAAATGACAATACATTTCTCAGAATCCACTTATATGAAGTTGTCTGTATTTTGCTTTTGTTTACTGAATGTAGAATTCCAGGCTGACGGTTTTTTGCAGGCTTCCCTTTAAATATGTTGTGTGTTGTTTGCTGGCGTGGGTGACTCTTGGTGCCAAGGCAGCTGGCATCTGGCATTGTGAGGATGGGTTTCCTGCATCCATTTCCCTGCTCAGACTTCTCCTTTATCTTTGGGTTCTACAAATTTGAGCGCATGTTCATGTGTGGTTTTCTGAATATATCTCTGATGTCAAATTCCTCGAGATTCCAGGGTCTCTATATTAACTCTTTATTTGGTTCTTATATATTTTGATTTTTTTTTCCTGTCCCATTCTTTCTCTCCTCTCTCTCCAGGACTGTAATTCTGTGTGTCATAATCTTTTGGGTTTGTCTTCCAGTGACCAGTGGGGCTCTCTGTATTGTTTTCCTCCCTGAGTTCCGGTTTAGACAATTTCTGTGAGTTCATCTTAAAAAATCAACATGCTTCTCTTTTCTTGTGTCCTACTGCAGTTAATCCAATCCAGGGCCTTTTTGATTTTAGCTATAGTGCTTTTGGTTTTAGGATTTTCACGTGACTTTTTAAAGATTTATTTATATTTATGCGGGTCCAACATGGTGCCTTGGTGGCTAAAGTCCTCACCTTGAATGTGCAGGGATCCCATGCAGGAACCAGTTCTAATCCCAGCACCTCCGCTTCCCATCCAGCTCCCTGCTTGTGGCCTGGGAAAGCAGTTGAGGACGGCCCAAAGCCTTGGGACCCTGCACCCATGTGGGAAACCCGGATGAAGCTCCTGGCTCCTGGCTTTGGATTGGTGCAACTTGGCCATTGTGGTTGCTCAGGGAGTGGATCATCAGACAGAGGATCTTCCTCTCTGTGTATCTGACTTTGCAATAAAAAATAAAATAAATCTTTAAAAAGATGTAGTTATATTTATGGAAAGGTATATTTTATAGACAGAAGGAGACAGAGAGAAGGATCTTCAATCTGCTGGTTCACTGCTTCAACAGCTGCAGCGGCTGGAACTGAGCTGATCTGAAGCCAGGAGTCAGGAGCCTCCTCCATGTCTTCTGTGTGGGTGCAGGGTCCAAAAGCTTGAATCATCCTTTGCTGCTTTCCCAGGCTACAAGCAGGGAGCTGCATGGGAAGTGGAGCAGCTGGCATACCCACGAGGGATGCCTGTGCTTGCAAATGGAGGAGGATTAGTTCATTGAGCCATCATACCGCCCCTTCCCCCTTTTTTCCTTTCTACAAGTTTCCAGGTTGTTCCTGAACTCCTCATTCTCTTTTCTCATTATACTTATCATTTCCTCCAGACTCTTCAGCATATTTATCATAGTTATTTTAAGGCTCCTGACTGAATTGCAGTATCTGGGTCATCTGTGTGCCTGTTCAATTTTTCTTTTAGTGGGGATCAGACTTTTCCATTTCTTTGCATGATTATTTTTTTACTATGTACTAGACAATGGTGGAAGATAGATTAAAGAGTCTTAATTCTCCTGTCTTTCTGTAAGGCTAGTTAAGTTTGGCTCTACAGGTGATTAGATTAGTGCTAGACAATATTGAGCTAAAGGAGGCAGGATTTTTACAATCGTTTTGGTTAGGGACTCTTTCAGCCTTAATGTTAGTCCTAGGAGAAATATTTTATTCACAAGACACACAGCCTTTTCTCCTAAAGCTAGGCTTTTATAAATTTCTCTGAAAACTGGTGTCGTTTCTCTGTCTCCTCTCAGTTGGTAGCCTCTGGACTCTGATTCTGTCTTCCCTGAATTGTGTGGCCAGTGAAGCACCTGCTCAGCTCTCATACTGTCCAGCTGTTTTGTTCCTGAGCCCCTTGTCGCTTCCACTGTACCTGTGTAATTAAGGTGTCAACGAAGAAATTGAAGGGGAATTTCCTCTGTCCAACTTTCTCATTGCTAAAGCTTCTGTTTATTTCCAACTTTTCCAGCATTTCCAAACTCTAGCCTCTGAGTCTTCAGTCCCAGCTATCCAATACCATGCAGACTGCCATTAAGGACTAGCCAGTTAGGATGAATATTCTCCATTGCTGGTTCCGGCTTTGAAGGATCTGAGAACCTACGATTTATTGCTGATTTTGTTCATTCTCCAGTGCATTTAAGTGGTAGTTTTGAATATATTTTATCAATGGTTTATTATGGTTATATGGGAAGATTCAGTGCAATGTAAACTGCTATGCTTTTACTAGGTGCAAAATTTCATCAAAGGTGTTTAAGCAGATGAGTATCATGACTATATTTACAACTTGAGGAAGTCATACTAGCATAAGGATAAAAGCCTGGAGCAGGGCAGCAAGAATGGAGGGAGGAAGAGAAGATGGACTTCCAGCAGACTCTAGTGATAGGTGATGGTTTTTGAGACTAGTTGATTTCAGAGGATCCTGGTCATGGCAAGCAAGACTTTGAGATACATTTTGCTATAATTTGATGATGAGTGGGAGGATAGGAAAAAGGGAGGAATCAAAGATGATTCTAGATTTCTGGTTTGAGCAGTTGAGTAATGACACCAAGAGAGACTACTGAATAAAGATGACACTGGGGTAGCAGGGGGGAACACAAACTTCATGTTGAACGAATGTCTTGAGTTGATCAAACACAATCCAGTAAACAGCTCTGCAGGTCAGGGGGGTAGGGGTCTAGTTTACTGGAATTGGATGGTACAACCTGAGTGAATTATGCATATTTGAAGGAGAGAGATGCTTTTAAACGAAATGGGTTGGCTCTCTGAACTCCAGGTGAAATTGCTAGATAGGAGTCATGGATTTACCCTTTATTGGGATGGTTTGGGGAGCTTAACTATTAATATTTTCTTTCCTGCATACAGGGCTACAAGGAAGAAAAGAGCCAAGGTGAATGCTGTGGGAGATGTCTGCCTACAGGCTGCACCATTCAGCTGCGAGGAGGACAGATCATGACGTTGAAGGTAGGAATAAGCTGGGCTCAGCAGTTCCCTCACCGCCTAGATTCTTCCTGGGGTATATATTTTTTTCCACAAAAGAGGGATTAATTTTGATTCAACATTGGCCTCTTTTTCTGCTTCTTTCTGATTGTAAAAGAGAGAGAGAGAGAGAGAGAGAGAGAGAGAGAGAAAGAATGATTGATAGAAGGCACAGAAATTTATCTTCTCTTTGTTTTTCCTGACAAGAATAGAGTGGGGACATGGCCTCTTGTTTGAGTTGGTTGCTCTTTGAAACTTTTTTCTCTAGCTTTGCAAATCTGTGACACTGGGTAGACAATCGTGGTGAAATAAACTATAATCTATGAAGGGCAGGGACAGCTGGTGAGGCTGGGAGAAGTTGTGTGCATTTGTTTAGCTCATTCACTCTTACCATGCCTCAATCTTTTAGGCACATTAGTGCTGAGAATATTTTGAAGATTCTGTCCATTTCTTAAAAACAAACAAATAAATAAAGGTCCCGGCATGATGGCTTAGTTGGCTAGTCATACACTTCAAAGCACAAGGATCCCACATGGACACTAGTTTGTGTCCATGTCGCTCCACTTCTCATCCAGCTCCCTGCTTATGGCTTGAGAAAGTAGTGAATGATGACCCAAAGCCATGGGGCCCTGCACCTGCATGAGAGACCTGGAAGAAGCTCCTGGCCCTTGGCCTCGGATTGGCTCAGCTCTGGCCATTGCAGACATTTGGGGACTAAATTTGCCTTTCTAATAAAAAAATCTTTTAAAGGTTTATTTATTTTTATTGGAGAGTTACATAGAGAGAAGGCAAGAGAGAGAGAGAACGAGAGAGAATCTTCCATCCACTGATTTACTCCCCAAATGGGCACACAGGTCAGAGCTGGGATGGTCCAAAGCTAGGATCCAGGAACTTCTAGGTCTCACACATGGGTGCAGGGGCCTGCGGCCTTGGGCCAGCCTCTGCTGCTTTCCCAGGTCATAAGCAGGGAGCGGATCAGAAGTGGAGTGGATGGGACTCAAACCCGTACCTGTATGAGATGGCAGCTCCACAGACAGAGGATTAGCTCGTGATGTTACCGTGCCAGCCTCTCCATTTCTTTAGCCTTGTGCCGGATAACATGTTCCAACACTGGGATTCCACGTCTGTATCAGTTCAGGGGCTTTACCTATCTGGCTTATTCAAGTTCTTTAGCTTCCAAATTGTTTTGATAACTCCCAGGAGTCAAGACCATGGTTTGAAGTGGCTTTGCTCCCCAAACACACCTCTTTCCTTTCAGCGTGGGGAGACATTTCAGGATGGCTGTGACAGTCACTTCTGCAAGGTCAATGACAGAGGAGAGTTCACCTGGGAGAAGAGGATCACGGGCTGCCCACCTTTTGATGAACACAGATGTCTGGCGGAAGGAGTGAGTAGCCACAGCTAAGATGCTGCCAAGCTTGGCACTTTGAAAAAAAAGATCTTTTACTTGAAGAAGGAGATATGTGTGATCTTGAATAGGCAGGTGAGAGATCAAGTGGATGTCCAGTTTCCCTGGAATTGATTCTGATGACTCAGTGGGGGAGAGAACTCAGAATAATCACACTTGTTTGATCCTGTTCAGATAGGGTGGCCAATTGGCTCACGTTTGTGGTAAAGGACAGTTTGTGTCTGGGGCCTGAAGGTCAGGGGTGTGAAGCTGGGGCTAGGAAGCCAGAAGAGGTCTGCTAGGTACTGTTGGTGCCTAATTTGGAACTTTGCTGTCTTCTTAGGGGAAAATCGTGAAAATTCCAGGAACCTGCTGTGACACATGTGAGTGTATTACTAACGGCTTTTCCTTTGAAGCCCACTAGACCAAACCCAGTGACTGTTTTTTTTGGACTAAGACTTACTCCAGAAAGATACTTCCTGATCCCCAGTCAGTCATTATGGTCAGTCCTTCAGGTAACAGACTCCTCTCCGTAGATGTATGGCCTTTCCCCACATCCCTTTCAGATATCTGTGGAGCAGTCTCTTCCTCTCTCTCTGGCAAACTCCTCACCCTCTTCAGCCTCTTCTGTGCATTTCTGTTCACTGTGTCTTTGGTCGCTCAGTTCTTTCATAAGAGGGTGTCTTCTGTCTCCAACCAGAGCTCTTTGGATGTAGGCATTCTTGATCTTGATCCATGGTCTGGGCAGAGAAGATGCTTAATACTCATCAATGCAGTTATCTCAGGAATGCTACCAGCTGGCTTGCAGGAGCCTCTTGTGTGCTGTGAGGCTACAGGGAACAGAGTCCCCTCTCAAGGACTTGTAAGCTTGGTCTAAGTTGATGACCTCACTTGCTTCACTCTTGGCCGCTCTTGACCTTGTAGTGATATCGCACTGATTGTTTCTAATCATGGTAATAGCTTTAGAGAAGGAGGCTCAATGAATCTACACACCAGGCGATCTCCTTCCCATGGATTCTTGTGTTCCTCAGCACACAGTTTTTCAGAATTCTGATGCTCATGTTATTTTTCTCAGTTTGGAATTTCTGTTGCCTGGTCTTGTATCTTTTAGTTTATTTTTGTTTGGGTTTGCAGGCCCATGCTTATTTTCAGGCAGAGGAAAGAAAAGTCAAAATATAAATCCTTTAAGTGTTCATTCATTCATTCTTCTCTTGATGGCTTACAGTGACAGCCTCTGTAGCAAAATCGCAAGTGATCAAAATGCAATTTGAAAACGTTTCTTCTATGAGTACCATCTGAATGATTTAAGAAAGGAAGGTCAGGGAGTAGGCACCATGGCATAGTGTCTAAAGCCTCTGTCTGCAATGCTGATGTCCCATATGTGCCCTGGTTGGAGTCCCAGCCACTTCACTTCCAGTCCAGCTCCCTGATAATTAATATGCCTGGGAAAGCAGCAGAAGATAGCCCAAGTACCTGGGCTTCTAGCACCCACATGGTCCTGGATGATTTCCTACCCAGCCACCAGCTGTTGTAGCCATTGGGGAGAGAAGCAGTGGATGGAGATTTTCTGTCTTTCTCTCTTTCTCTTTAATTCTTACAGATACATAAATATTTAAAAAAAATAAAACAGAGAAAATTCTGAAACAACTGGAGAAGATGAGTTACTTCTGGGTACTCTACACATGGGATTTGGTTAAGACACTGTTATCTACCACACATCAGCAAGTAGCTACCATTGGTCAGTGTGTTCAGAAAACTTTGAGATCCCCTCCAAAGCAAAGCCAGCCAGGTTCAGGAATTGAAATTCTCAGTGAAAGAACAGAGCCTGTTGGTCGAAACATGTTTTCCTTATTCATCCTCCTAATGCAATTGGCAGCTGTTCCTTTTGAAACAGTATTATCTTGAAGTTGGGTTAACGTGGAGTCAGCATTGACTTAGATTAGGAGCCATTCATGACTGGCCGTCTTGCAGTGTTTGAGTGGGCAGGGTGGGCTGGCATTAAATCTTTTTTTTCTAAAAAGATTTATTGAAAGAGTTAGAATCTTCCATTGCCCCTTTCATTCTTTTGCAATGGCTAGAGCTATGCCAGATCAAAACCAGGAGCCAGGGGCAGAGACCCACACTCTTAGGCCATCTTCCATGGTTATCCCATGCACATTAGCAGGGAACTGGGTTGAAAGTAGAGCAACCAGAACATGAACCCAAATTGATGCCCGTATTAAATGTAGGGGTGGCAGGCAGTAGCTTTATATGCTACACCAGCACTAAAACTTAGAATTCTCAGTCAGCCAACTACAGTTGCATATCTGAGTGCCACCAACCCTTGTATGTAAGGAAACTCAACTGGTGATGCATAGAGACCACTAACCCAAAGTAGGACTCCACAAAGTCCCTAGGGATTTCTCCTTTCTTGCAACACAGTTAGGAATGGGTAGATATGAGTTCTGCTCATTGGCTACTACCTCATCCGTTAGCTTCTGTGTGTAATTACAGCATAACAAGATTGCTTCAATTATTATTGTTTGCAGGGACTATATATAAGAGCAGTTTTCATTCACTGACAACCCCAAAGCACAGGGTACCTAGGCTCCTCCTGCAATAAAAACTGTGCCATTAAGTGAGTTAGATGCAGCCAGAATTACATCTCTGAACAGAAAGAGCCAAGATGACTTAGTTCCCCTCCTTGCTGCTGTCTCTGCTTCCTGATTGCCGAGGGGAGTGGATCTGCTTCTGGCCCACTGACTCCCATCAGTGCCCCCAGTTTCATCTCCCCTCTGTCCTGTAGGTGAGGAGCCTGACTGTAAGGACATCTCTGCCAGGCTGCAGTATGTCAAAGTGGGAGAGTGTAAGTCCCGAGAGCAGGTGGACATCCATTACTGCGAGGTGAGCGTCTGACTTCAACGAGCCTCTGGGGGTGGGGGACTGTGTCTCCTGCTTTGGACCCCTCTCTTGAGTTGCATTTTTCTAGAAAGATTAGAGAACAAATGGGGAAAGGATCCGTATGCATGCTGAAAGTCATGCATGTTTCATGAAATGGGAACAAACTGAGGAAAGACTCAACAAGCCTTTTAAAGAGAATGGGGTTATTTCTCAAAACTTTGGGGCTTTGTTTCCCGCAGAGCATTCAAACATGCAGATGTGAGATCCTCCTGAGGTCTTCCTGACTCTCCTGGGTGTCTCAGAGCACAGCCAGTCTTTAGTTTTGCTTTGTGGTACTGATGGCGGGGTGGGGAAGGTCAGGCTCATGATGCTGCAGGGCACTTCCCACCTGTAGCTGTTGCAGCATTGTGATTCTCACCCCTCTCCATCCCTGCAGGGCAAATGTGCCAGCAAAGCTGTGTACTCCATTGATATTGAAGAAGTGCAGGACCAGTGCTCCTGCTGCTCGCCAACACGGACTGAGCCAGTGCGGGTGCCTCTGTACTGCACCAATGGCTCGCTTGTGTACCATGACGTCCTCAATGCCATGCAGTGCAAGTGCTCTCCCCGGAAGTGCACCAAGTGAGACCCACCACAGGGGATGCCTGCTGCTGCTGCCTGCCTTGTGCCCGAATAGCCAGAGTGTTGTTAATCTCTGTGCATTCTGTTCTGGTGCCCTCCCCGGGCCCACAATAAATGTCAAGCTTCATGTTGTAAATGGCTGGTGGTGCACTGTGACTTGAGGCTGAGACGGCAACTGGGGTGGGAGCCTGGGTTGTGATGGGGGTAAGGGGTGGGGATAGGGGAGACACAGGCCCCAGTTGAAAGCACTACAACCCCAGTGTCCATGGGAGGCAGTGACTGCTTCTGGGAGCAAATGGTATCCCAGCTCTGTGGGGTGGGAAGGCCTAGTGTGGGGCTGGCCTCTCCAGATCCTTGGCGTATGATGCATCTGCTGGGTTCTCAACTCTCTGAATCAGGGGACTGCAGAGGGGTGGGTGTGGAAGGCAGGTATGCCCGGGATCAGCCTGGTGGTTCCCATTGTGGAGAAGGCATTTACTTGGCCAGGTATGACAAAGACACCGTGTACTCTAGTGGTCCCTGTGGGAAGGGAACATGCTGAGGTACATGGATGTGGAGTGCTGGCAGGTGCAGGAGTGCAGGCATCCCACAGGCTCTGTTGGAGGGAGAATGGCCCCAGACGCCGAGGCAGACTTGGGCTCCACACACGCCCTTGCTCTCAAGCCCCTCCCTCCAGGATTCTCTGTTTCAGCTTCCTCATCTGGAAAGCAGGAATGCTCCTCTCACTACTGAAGACTGCAGGTCTTCTGGTGACTGCAACAAGGGAGGAGTAACAAGAATAAACATGGGGGAACCACGATTTGGAAGAAGGACTCACATAGAGCCCCATGCCAATGGGAGGGTGTTTCGGATTTCTGGCAGTTTGAGGTTTGGCAGAACAGAATTTTTTTTTTTTAAGATCGGTGAGTTTTGTGTTGCTGGGCCTCCACTCCTGTTGTCACTTACAATGTAAGCCCCAGAGAGCTGCTTCTTGGGACAATGGTGTCAACTGTGCAGAATCGGTGGGATGGGGTGTTTTGAGGGAAGAGAGAATGGATAGATGTCTTATGTAACAACTCAGTAATTCAGAGGCTGTCGTCTGTCCATCCATCACCCTGCCCTGCAACTCTGCACGGCTTCTCAGATCTCTCTCTCTGGAGGAAACCAGATCCAGGGATAAGGAATTTACTGGCCCTCTTCTGATTCAGTACCTAACACTCCACCTGGGGACAAGGTGTTACTGGAAGTATCAGCCTCATAGACATGTAGCAGAGAGGGGACCAGGGCAGCATTTGTTGTCAGTCTCCCAGCTGTCCGGGAGACTTTTCCTCCTAAGAACCAACAGGATATGTCATCCATCACAAGAAAGACAACGCAAGCAAATGCATATTTTTCTTAACAATAATATCAATAATACAATAAAGGGGAAGTTGGGTGGAAGGCTGTAGAAAGGGAACCCAGGGGAGGTGGTTGTGTATATGAGGGAATGTCATGGTGGGCTTCCTTTATTTTGTAAGTATTCTAGAAGCAGGGTCTCGGGGCCCTCTTTTATGCACATCCTCAAACAAAATCAAAGTTCCCCAAAGTGGGTACCTTAGGGAGAGTCTCAGGGAAGGAATAAACGGAGACCTGCAAGATAAGAGAGGGAACACATAAAGGGACAGTGGAAGACTGCTCCCCATTCTTACCAGTTGAGGAGCTATGGAGATGGCTCAGGTAACCCACAGGGAGAAGGGTGAGGGCAGCCCCTAGGGAGAGCCTGAGGGCAAAGTGTAAGGAACTTCACAACAGGCTGGGGAAGCCTCTTTGAGGCAAGTCCCCCAATGTCAGACACGGCAGGCCTTCATCTGTAAGATGGACACACCGTAGAAGTGACCTCATCCACTCATGGTCCAGGTTAAGATATCTACTATGAGCAGAGCCATGAGAAACGTGGGTGAAGAAGTCCTAGATAAACACTGGAGTTGCCAGAATCAAGCACTGGGGTGGAAGTGGGATAACATCATAATTTCTTTTTTTTTTTTTTTTTAAGATTTATTTATTTTACTTAAAAGTCAGGGTTACTTAAAAGTCAGAGGGAAAACGCAGAGAGAAATCTCCCATCACTGCTTTACTTCCCAAACGGCTGCAACAGCCAGAGCGGGGCTGATCCGAAGCCTGGAGCTTTCAGGGTTCTCATGTGGGGCCCAAGGGCTTGACAAGCCTCCTTCCACTATTTTCCCACACCAGCAGAGAGCTGGATGGGAAGTGGAGCAGCCAGGACTCCAGCCGGCACCCACATGGCGTGATTAGCCAGCAATGCTGCAGATAATGTCATTTTTAGTTAAGATTTCTTTATTTATTTTGAAAGAGTTTCTGAGAGAGACAGGGCAGGACAACACAGGCAGAAAAAGAGAGCTTTCATTGGCTGGTTCAGTTCAGTCCCCCAGATGACTGCAACTGTCAGAGCAGGTGCTTCTTCCTGGTCTCCCACCTGGGTGGCAGGTGCTCAGGCTGTTGGACATATGCTGCTTTCCCAGGCCAGTAGCAGGGAAGAAAGTGGAAGTGGAGCAGCCACACAGAACTGGCACCCACGTGGGATGCTGGTGTCACAGGCAGTGTCTCCACCAGCCACGCCACAGCACCGGGTCCTCGCAGGACACTCTAACTTTTTTATTTTCCTCCTAGGTTCTGGCCCTGATTCATCCAGTGTTACTGCATATTTCCTTTACTTCCTCTGTGGGGATCCTCATTTACGAGGCCAGGAGTCACTGCAGCCGTTACCTTTATCAGCACACTAGTTAGTTATTTAAAACACAGGTCTAGTTCACATGATATTATTATGATACTATTACGCGCAGCTAATCCCCCCAACCTGGTTCTTTACCGTGAGCCGAAAACTCCAGACGCAACGAGACATCTTAGGAGATTTTTTTCCAGCGGGGCAGGAACAGGACCGGCGGTGGTGGAGATCAGCGGGAAAAGCGGAAGATGGAGGCACTTAAATTCAGGTAGGCCGGCAAGGTGTGGGGGGCGGGATTGAGGGCAGGCTCCAAGGGGATTGGTTCCTGCAGGTGAATGCCTAGGGATGATTGGTGAGTGGGCGGGGTTGGGAGATTGGGGCGGGAGTCTCAGGTGAAATGGCTGATTGGTGGACGGCTGGAATGGCGCGAATTTCGTGAGCTGTGAGGAAGAGAAAATGGCGTCGGGTGCAGGGTGGGATATTCGAATAACTCCGTACAGTAGTAGAACATTCCTCAGACTTAAAGGTCAGGGATTGCAACTAGCACACTTGAATTTGGTCCTCACTTAGAACTTTCCATTTTTGCAGAGAAGGAGGTATTCATGAACTTGCTTTGCTTCGGGCATCTGTGAATAACAGAGTCCATCATTTAGAGTGGCTCTTCGGGCATCTGCTTTCTCTTCCCTCTGCCCATGGCTGGGGGACCCAAACCATTCTGGAGAGATGGCACTACTCTATCCTTTGGGGTCAGCTTTCTCAGCACCCACCTCCTTAGACATTCCCAAGCCTTTCCCGGGTCCCACGGTGAAACTCCTGCAGGCTTGCCACCCTCTCCCTGCTGCTGGCTAGACAGACTTGGCGACAGGTGTGAGGGGGACCCACTTTCCAGGGCATGGCGTCCACCCTCACGGCAGGGCCAAGCCCTGGGCAATGATGAGCCTCTCTGGGGAAGGCAGGAAGGAGGTTTTGCTGGCCGGATTGGAGACTAATCAGCCAGACGGTGCATGAGATAATCCGGCTGAGTTTACAGGCTCCAGCCAGGTTGTGAGGTGCCTGCTCAGGGCGAGGCGAGCAGGAGGCAGTCGCCCTTTTGCCCCTAGCTGCCCTCTCCCGAGCGTGTCCCAGACTCAACCCCGCCGTCCAGTCACGCTGCTTCCTGCACGCCGCGCTCCCAGCGCCGGTGCGCCCAGGGCGCAGCGGGCACAGCGCGGTGCGGGCCCGGCGGGCGGCGCGGGGAGGGATGGGGGAGGAGGCGGCGGCGGCCGGCGAGGGGCGGGCGCGTCCAGACGGAGCTGAGCCGCGATGGAATTAGCCCCGCGGCGGCGTAAGCCTGTCCAGAAGCGAGCGCGGCCGCGGGGCGCTCTGGTTGCGCGTGCGGTGTGCTCGCCCCATGGCTACCACAGGGCTACACGGTGAGTTTTCCCCGGCCAGCGGCCTCTGCTCTGGGCTTTGGGCAACTTTCAGGCGGGAGGAGTAAAAAGGGCTGCATCCTGACGCCTGTCCCGCGCGCGGGTTTGGTGACCTCAGGTGAAGCTGCACTGGGAGACTTGCTGAGAGGAATTGGCCTCTTTTCCCTCAGGGTAGGGGAAGCTGCGGGATTCCCGCCGCCTGAGAACTTTCTCCCTCCCGGGGAAGCTTCTTTCTCCAAGGGACCGGGCAGGTAGGACCACAGCCCGAGGGACCGGTGCGGTGGCTTCTCTGTGATTGGCTCCCAGTTCCTAACTTGGCTGTTTACAAGATTTTGAGGCTTAGAGTGGCCGAGGGTCAGTAAACAACCCGCTGGCTTCAATTCAGTACAGTTGTGCTGACAGTAGAACCAATCAGACTGGCATCCCTGGGGTGGCCTCCCAGCTTCTGGAATTCTCTTCTGGTCCCCATGCAAATGCACCTTCAGGAAAGGCTGTGATGCCAGTCATTTACCCCTAGGATGCAGGCATGCACAGAGGGTATTTCCTAGAAAGAAAACAAATGAAGGTGGGGTTTTGGGAGGTGGGAGGGAGGATGCTTTACTGCTCTCCCCAAACTATATGAAGGAGAAGTTGGGGCCGACTTGACCTTCCCCTCCTACCCCCACGAGTGGGTTTCCTTAGGTGTCTTTTTTTTTTTTTTTTTTGTATTTCAGAAATGCAGGAGGGTGGGAAGGGGCCATTTCCTTGGGCTGGAACAAGGTGTCAGTTATGGGTCTAACATTTGCGGAGCAGATAGCAACTCCCAGGGTCCCGTGGACCCTGGTCCAGGGCGTGGTGGCTGAGTGTGCGCCTTCTCTTTCTCTTTGTCGGGCAAAGGGACTTGGGCCTAATGTGAAGTGCAGCTGTCCTTTTTTCTGAAGAGGACCCCAGCCTTTCTGGAAACGCCCCTACCCTACTGACCACAGAAGCCTGTCCCTGCCTTGTGCCCACTGTTCCTGGGCACTAGGAGACGAGAACTTGA